TTGTTTTAGAAACTTCAGTTGTATTGACTGAGATTCTAACTCTGCATGGGTTTTCTCTTGTTTTAACACCAACAGTTGCCTCTCTATTTTTTTTCTTGGTCTCTTTTTTAATTCTGCTTCCTTAATTACTATTTCGGCCGCCAACTCATTTAACCTTTTATTTCTTTCCCTATTTTTCCTTGCTCCTTGTTGTATAAAGTGTCCTCTCAGAACTGCTTTGAAGGCATCCCACACCACACATGGGTCCGTTTCCTCCACTTTATTTATTTGCAAATAATCTTGAAATATTTTGTTATAATATTCTTTATCCTGTTCTGTTTTTATTAGATTCTCGTTCAATCTCCATCTCCTGGAGTAGTTTTTATGATTGATACAAATTTCTAAAGGGCAGTGATCTGACAAGTCTCGTGGTAAGATGTTAATTTCCTTCACTTTGGCGGAGAGTTTTCTAGTTATCCAGGCCATATCAATCCTGGACCAGGATTGGTGTCTATTCGAGAAGAATGTATAGTCTTTTTTATCTTTATTTCTAATTCTCCATATATCTTCTAGATCAAATTCTTTTTGCAACTCTATAAATTTTTGAGGGAGTTTACCTTCCTTTATTTTCTTTTTCTTCGCATTTTTGTCTATTTGAGGGTCCATCACTCCATTGAAATCTCCTAACAAAATCAGATCGTCAAATTCTGCTTCTTTTAGTTTGGAGTTCAGAAATTCAACAAATTTTGTTTTTGGACCATTTGGTGCATAAATATTACATATCAATATTTTTGAGTCTCCAATTATTATCTTTACCGCAATGCATCTTCCTTCCAAGTCTCTAAAAGCTAATTCTGATTCTATAGCTTCTTTCACGTAGGTTACTACTCCTCTTTTCTTCTTCTCATATGAGGAATGATATTCTTTTCCTAATTTTTTGTTTGGGAGGTGTGCGATATATTTATCACTGATGTGCGTTTCCTGTAACGCTATTACGTCATAATCCAATTTCTTCAAACTGTTCCATACTTTCTTGCGTTTCTGGGGGGAGTTCAAACCGTTAATGTTGTTTGAGAAACATTTTATTTGTCGTTCCATCATCTTATTCATTCCCATCGAGTCCCAATCCTATATCGCCAAAAGCCGTTTCCGCTGTTCCAGTTGCCTGTTGTTCAACACTCTGTTCTTCTTTTCCTTTTTCTTCTTTCCGTGGTGTCGTTCTTGGTGTCGTTCTCTGTGGTTTGGGATCTTTCAATAAGTAGCTATAATCCTTTGGTGACTTATATCTTGCCTTTTTCTCTTTGATACCCTTTCTTGGAGTAGATAGTCTTCTTTCTTCATCTCCTTCCGCTTCGTCTCCTTCTTCTTCCTCCTCCTCTCCCATTTCTTCTTCATCTCCCTGTTCTTTCATTAATTTATCATAAAACACTTTAGCCTTATGCTCTGATGTTAGCCAGTGTCTTTCTTCCTTATATGTCACCATTATTCCTTCTTTTCTCTCCCACCTGAATCTTATCTCTCTCTTTTTCAGCTCTTCTGTTAGAAAGAAATATTTTCTTCTTCTCACTAAGGTCATCTGGGGAAATTCTTTCAAAACTACAATTTTCTTTTCTTTGTAAAAGATTGGGTTTCTGTTACTTTTATACAAAATGTCATCCCTCACCTTCTTCCTTGTAAATTTCACAATCACATCCCGTACGGTTTTATTCTTCCTCGCATAGAATGAAGAAATCCTATAAACTTGGTCCACCTCTTGTTCAAATTCATCCTCCTCACATTCCATACAACTTGCCAGCATTTTAATAACCAATGATCTTATGTCTTCTTTATCCTCCTCCGCTATATTTCTGAATCTTAATTGGAAGTCCATTTGCATTTGCAGTAATCTCTCTTGTTCCCATTCCATTTTTTCCCTATGTTTATCCAGTCCTTTTATCTTCTGAGCCATTTCTGATTGTGTTCCCTCAATTTTCTCTTTAGAGACTTTTAATTCTTTCACCTCTCCATGTAGTTGCGATATGTCTTCTTTTATCTGGCCAAATTCTTGCTTTATTTCAGACTTCAAGACCTTGAATTCTTCTGTCATCTTTGTAATAATTCCCTCTTGTTTCTTATAATATTCTTCATGTTTAGCCTTAACCTCCTCTTTCAATTCCACTTTCAAAGCATCTTGTTTTTCCGAAATCTTTTTTATTTCTTTTAATAGGTTGTCCATTTTTGGGTTTATATCCAGAGACCCCCTCCGGGATTCTGGTTTGCCTGGGGTTGCCATTTCTTTCAACTCGTCTGCTTCTCGTCCTCGAATTATCTATTTTCGTCTGCTTCTCGTCCTCGTCCTCGGTGCCCTTCGTCTACTTCTCTTCCTCGCCTCGTCCGCGTCTCCTCACCTCAAGCGTCTGCTTCTCGTCCTCGAATCGTCTACTTCTCGTCCTCGATCTGTCTCCTCCTGCCCTCTACTTCTCTATCGGATTTTCGGATTTTCCCTTAATTTAATTCCAATTTATTTCCAATTTATTTCCAATTTTTCTCTAGCCGCTCTGTATCGGACTTTCTCTATGGTTTTCAAAATGGCGTCTTCCCTCCTTCCGCCCCGTCACTTCCGCCCCTCTGTCCCTTCTATGCTTCTTCCGACCTTCTCGTCCGTCACTTTAATCTGCCTTCCGTTTCCGTTTCCGTCACTTCCTCCCGCCAACTCAGCCTACTTGTTTATAAAGAAGGCTGAAGATAGACACAACAGTTATGGCGTCAAGGTCGGAGATATTATCAGTTTTCTACTTTCTTTTAGATTTTCGGGGGGGATGCGAAGGGGGGCTATCACTCCATCTTCGTCTTCATTTTCATCTACTTTAGCAGAGCGGTTTTTCCTCTAAATTTGCCTCTAATTTCGATGATTTAAATTCATCAATTTAGATTGCCAATTTAAGTTAAATTTTATTATAATTTGTATATATTTTAATCAATCAATCAGATATTACTACCGAGAGACCGGAGACCAAAAATGTGATCTCTTCCTCTTTAAATCCTGCGGCTTCTTTTCTTCTTATCTCCTTCTCTCTCTTTATTTCCCCAAGCCCTTACGGCTTGGCTATTTATTCTTTAAAAGTGTGGGATCTTGTCCCGTTACCTGTTGCTGGGGTCTTTCTTGCTTCTCCACCCAATCTGGGCTTTCTTTATTTCAACTTCTTCTTCTAATTTGTGAATGGATCGGCGGCGGTTAAACGGACCTTGCGGTTCGATCCTCGTGGGGCGGCTCGCTTTCCCCTGTGTTGCCCGGACCCACTCGACCTCTCCTCCTTGAGGGGGGGAGATCTTTGGGGTCTCAAGCCCACACTGGGATTCGCGGCACCTTTGCAAACTCAATCCGGCAAAAGGGGGGAGCATTCAGCTCAACCTAGCCGCCACAACACAGGTCCTCGCTGGGAGCTCACTCTCAGCGAGGCAGTCCCGTCGCCATGTCCACCGGAAGTCTCGGAAGATCGATGCTTTTGAGCTGTGGTGTTGGAGGAAAGTTCTGAGAGTGCCTTGGACTGCGAGAAGATCCAACCAGTCCATCCTCCAGGAAATAAAGCCCGACTGCTCACTGGAAGGAAAGATACTAGAGACAAAGTTGAAGTACTTTGGCCACATCATGAGGAGACAGGAAAGCCTAGAGAAGACAATTATGCTGGGGAAAGTGGAAGGCAAAAGGAAGAGGGGCCGACCAAGGGCAAGATGGGTGGATGGCATCCTTGAAGTGACTGGACTGACCTTGAGGGAGCTGGGGGTGGTAACGGCCGACAGGGAGCTCTGGCGTGGGCTGGTCCATGAGGTCACGAAGAGTCGGAGACGACTGAACGAATGAACAACAACAATAGTTTAATTGTCAGGAAAATGCATGCAAGTGAAATTCATTAATCAATTTTCCTCACATTTTTCACACTTCCTTTAGAATAGAACCCTTTTTTAAAAACCCCTCCACACACAAAAATTCCATTCTGATTACCATCTCAGTCTCACAAATTAAAGTCCCTTGAAAGGATTTAAGTGTCTAAGATATCTAATGTATTTGTATGGTGAGATTAGAGAGTTTTAAAAATCATTTTACATGCATATTTGTTTTTCATCACTCTTCATTTAGAATAAAGAAAGAAGATAATGATATTGAAGTTATTTGTTTGGTGTAAGCAATTACATAGTATACAGCTCATTTGGAGGAAGATGTTATTTTAAACAGAAGGGTTCAGCCTTTCTGTCCTGTTCAGGTAGAAGTAATTAATTTATGAGTGGGAGAATGTTTGCAAGATAAGACATCTTCCAGGTGTCAGGAAATGAACAGGTCCTATTTAGGGGCATGTGTTTATTTAGTTTTCAAAGAAGTAACCCTGCTATTCTCTTCCAACATACAAATGTGGAATTAGGTGGGGGTGTAGATGCATATCTAAGAGTTTTTAAAAATCGAAGCTTGAGCTTTCATGGATATAAACCAATTTCTTCAGATGCAGGATAGAATGATATGCTAGCCTTGGGGTATAAAGCACATTTACACAGGATACAATGTAATACAAGCAAAAAGATTGCATAATATAGATGGCAATAAAGGGATAGCCCCCTGCCACAAACCCAGAGGCCAACTCTGTCACCACATGTCCTCTGGAAGCAATATTACAGAGGCTAAAACATTATCCATAACATCAGAGGTACATGCACTTGTTTTTCCTCCAACATAATATATGCCATTCTACTGTATGCCAACAATGCCCCTCCACACTCTACACTGGTCAGACAGGTCCATCTCTACACAGTGGATGAATGGACACAAATCAAAAAGTGGCAATATCCAAAAACCAGTTGTGGAATATTTCAATATCCCTGGATATACAGTATAGGATTTAAAGGTTGTGGTCCTTGAACAAAGAAATTGCAAAGGAAGAATAGAAGGAGAAATAGCTGAATTGAATTGTATTCACATCTTGAATATGATTTACATCTTTCTCAGTCTTTCTCAGTTTTATGTAAATATGCATTATATTCTCCAGCCAGGATATCACTTTGTCCTGCGATTATGATGTATGAAAGCTCAAAAAACAAAAACATTTAAGTCTTTTTTTCTACATTTCTTCCCCCACCCCCCTTTCTCCTTTTTGTGTTTATTCAGCAGATTGATTATGGATATCTTTTAATGCTTTGAATGTTACAATGCCCACAACTAGAAAGTGCAAAACAAAATTAGCTGCTCATACTTACAGGACTCCGACTTATGCAGTCCTGTTTCCTTATAGTTGTTCTGACTGTCACCTTTTGGCAAATTCTATCATCTCTTTTGCCTGGTGAAATATAAAATAATCTCCATTGATTCATTTATAAATTCAGGCATAAGGGGAAAATATTGAAAATAACATTTCTAGCTGCATGATTTTAGGCAAATATCAAGGTGCCCCATCTTTCCTGTTTGCCCAATTGTTTATTTATTTATTGTATCAGGAGCGAACCAAACAGTTATATTGTATTTTTTTTAAAAAAAAAGTTTGCAAACTTGGCATTCTATTACATGTCCTTTGACCAGAAGCTGGCCACTTGGATTGCCTCTGGTGTTGTTATAAGAAGATCTTCCATTGTGCATGTGGCAGGGCTCAGGTTGCATTGTAATAGGTGGTCTGTGGTTTGCTCTTCTCCACATTCGCATGTCGTGGACTCCATGTTGTAGCCCCATTTGATGTTTTCTGTACTTAGATACCAAATTCAGAAGTTCAGCTTGGAGAGTTTGTCCTATTATATGACTATTTTCAAATGTGGGAAACTCAAGACATCATATTGCAGCTGTCAGTCTTCATGGGCCTGTGGATTTTGGCTTTAGTTTATATTGTGTCAGTTCATTCATTAATTTGTAATTTAGTAACATTCCTGTCATTATTCATCCCCAAAGGTCACTAGAGGTCTGGAGATTTGAAGCTTGAACTGATAAAACCTGAATTCACATTATGATGATGTTTTAGTGCTTGCTGATTGAGCACCGGATTCAGCACTTCAAAGTGCTGATTCTAACTTTTAAGACCTTGTACGGCCTGGGGCTGGAGTACCTGAGGGACCGCCTCACCCCCTACCAACCCCCGAGATCACTCCATTCAGATGATCAGAATTTCTTTGACATTCCCAATTTTAGGACCTTTCACCTGATGTCTACTAGGCATAGAGCATTCACGGTGGTGAGTCCTTACCTGTGGAATGCCTTGCCAGCGGAAACACGAGCTCTCTGAGACTTACTATCTTTTCGTAGAACTTGTAAAACTTATTTATTTAGGCTGGCATTTGAATCTTGTTGATTGAAATTTTTCTTTGATTTTAAATGTAATGTATTGCATATGTATATTGTAAACCGCTCCGAGCCTTCGGGGAGTGGCGGTATATAAAATTTATAAATAAATAAATAAATAAATAATGAAAATCAAGTAGGAGAACAGACTAAGAAATATTATTTCCCACTGAATGTAGTACAGTTAGCTTTCAAGAGTTCAATGTATAAGTTATATATGCAATGGAGCAAAGGAGCCCTATTCTTTTGCATATACACACTTAAAGCAATCTGCAAGATTCTTTTGGCCAAGTAAAGACTGACAGATTTGTTGAGCAACTGAATCACACAGAGAAATTTAAGTGTGAAAAAGGCCTGTACAGTATTTTTCTGAACTCACATGATCTGTCCCATTTCTTTTACAGCAGACAGACCACACAGATATGTATGTACACTAGCCTCAGTTAACAAATAATGAGGAGAACATGGAATTCAAGGTTTCTCCTGTTCCCTGCCTGCAGGAACAATCTGCATTTGGAGAGTTACATATGGACTGGAGCCCATAAGAAAATAATTAGACAGAGGAACATGAAACATTTTCTGATACATATTGAATATTATTCCAGGGCCCTTAATTGCATAGGGAAGGGTTAACACCCCTGTGGTGTTTGTTTTCTGTCTGTGCCCTGTTCAGAAGACTTTTTCACCTTTGAAAAATGTTGCTTATTGCGGAAACAAGGACTGGTGATAAAACCTCAGTGGAAACACCTTTTCCCCCAATAACTCTTTTAGGAGTGAATTTCTCTTCATAGGGATATATTTCTCTCACTTCCTCTTTTCTCACCCATGTTCTTAACTATGAGTTGTAAGTCAGATGTTTCTAACTCGGGAACTACCTGTATATGATATGTATTCCCCATCCCTCCTTAATTACCAGAAATAAAAAACAGAGAGGATACATGTAATGGAAATGAATATATCAATATAAAAGAGACCATTCGAGAGAGAAATTTTGTAAGCCATATTCACAGAACCGATCTTACAGTTTTAGAAGAAATAAACAATAGCTGCTCTTCTTTCAAAAATTTATCTATGGACAGGACAGAATTTTTTACGAAATTGGGAAAGTGTGATGCACTAACTGTACTACTAGATTTTCATTGGGCATCACAGGAAAATGTAATCTGTCATAAAAACCAAACACATATTCTACTGAAGCAAATATTACATAACAAAGTTATTAGTAGCAATTAAGCTGAAATTATCTAAATGAATATTGGTATAAACTACAACTTGGTGGTGGTTCTCACAAGTGATCTTTTCAACCAAGAATAAGTACTTAATGAATTTTGTCCACATGACAACCTTTTTACCTAATGAATCAAGAAAGGCACATTGTTTCTCTACAGAGATCACATTTGCGACAATTGAGTCATTTACGTTATTTAAGTCAGATGATTGTTCTTTCATGCCATCCACAATTGTAACAAATTGAAAATGTGTCTGTCTTAAGATCAATGTGGATATGTTCAGAATGCAAAAGCCTTTCAGTTGTCTATGATAAAATCTGAAAGGAAAGTCTTTTCTGTGAGTGTTTTTAGACATTTCACTGGACACAACAGTGTCAACATAAGTGTACTGGCTTTAGGCTAATGACTAATTTGACAATAAATATAATTCCTGCTTCTTATATATTTCCATGGGAAAAGAATGGTGAATCATGCATATAAATCATCATATACAGCAATCACATGAGCATTTTTCAGATGCTCTATAATTGTACGGAAAACAAACGCATGGAGATCAAGGGTTAGAGCCTGCCCCTTCTACTCTCCTCATGTGAAGGGAAGAGCCTCCTCTAAAGATGATGACTGCCCATATGGTTCTGAATAGTAGTAAAACCAATTTTCCTGCAATTGTGGGAAGAATCTCCACAGATAGAGCAGGCTCTCCTATTCAAAGATTAACTCTGTTTGTGGAGTATGATGGAAAGAATGGAGTTTCCACACTCCTCCTTTTCAGATGTTTATTATATAATGGAACACCCAATTAAAGCTAGTAACCACCTAAGCTAATAATTGATGCTGGAAGATCCATATCACATGACTATTTTTGTCCATACCACTATTGTATCTTGCCTCCATCATACCATAATACTAACCAGTCAAAGTAGCCTGTCTTCCTCAAAAATTTTACTTATTGCCTTCCATAATAACTATTTGCTGGGGTTAGGGGCACAGAATGCTTGTGAAGGTGAAAAACTGTGAACTAAAGCTTTACTATATTTTTGCCCAAAATAACACTTCTCTGGGAATTTCTAGATGCTCCTGCACAACTCTATTGTCAGCTTCTACTGGAAGCTGATCATAGCATTACACTCGAGGACTTAGAGATTCCTAGAGGGTGTTCTCTCTAGGAATATCTGTTTTTCCAGCATGACTCCATGGTCAACTTCTTGGAAATTAATCAAATCCATGAATAAACCACCGTAAACCAGCAAATGTGGAAGGTCAACTGTACTATGAACTGTCTTATGAAAGTGGAAAGAAATAAAATATACATACATGCATACATATGGGATGGGCAACTTGTGACCATCCAAGTGCTGGATGGCAAAACTCATAAGTCTTTGAAAACTACCAGTGAAAGATAACATGAACAACCATCCAACAGCATCTGGTCACACAATGCTCATCTCATGCCTTTCAAGTGCAAAATGGTGTGCAATCAATTCAACTTCAGCCAACTGTTCCTGATGTGTTCAGTGACAGAGAGTAACTTGAAGGCTATTATTTCCCATCATAGCCTCTTCTAACTGACACTGAGTCATGCTTAAATATGGACATTTCTATAAAAATTAATAACATCATAATAATTCATTCAAATGAAAGAAAATACATTATTAAAAATAATAATACCTGGTTCACAATTAATACTACCAGTAGAGACTACGGGGCTAATGGCAAATGGTAATACACCCCGTCCAGAACCTGGCAGAATTATTGGGAACATAAGTTTCTTGTAATATAAAAAACATTTTTGCATAAACAATATGGCATTAATTCTTACACTGCCAACTGCAATTTTTCTTTTTGCAAAAGGTAACACGTCTTCCTATTTTTTTTCTAAATTACTGATGAACCTATACTTTAAGGCTTGTGAGGACATCAGAACTGCAGTGTTTACAAAAGAAAAATTCTACAGAATGTTATGATTCTGGCAAGGTAAGAATTAAATGTATGAACTCACTCAAGCATGCATTGAATCATTTTCCTTTAAAAATTTAAGATTAATGGCTCCCATTAAAACCCAAAGAGTTGCAAGCTATACTTGTAGATGACTTTCCATCTGCTTTACAATAAATGCACATGCTTTTCTTTCTTAAAAAATACTATTAGCATTTTTAAAAGCATTTGTGTTACATATTTTTTCTTAGAAGTCATCTCAAGCAAACAATTCTGAAGTATAACACTGCCTTTCCTAAGGCCACACAGCACTGTAAACAATGCAGTTAACACTGAAGTTTTTAGAAGTGTGAATCATATAACTAAATAGATAATGCATGTATTATATAATAGGGAGATTAAACCTGGCCTATCTACTTAAGGAAATAATTATCCTCATGCTCAACATTTTCCAGTTAAAAGTATCCCTAATTTTTAATTATGATACAGTTTGTGTCTGTTTTCCCCTCATTAGGGTGTTTGGGTTTTTCCTCTCTCCATATTTTGGAGTACCTGCATTTGTAAATTGTTATAATGAGATGTCTTGAGGATAGGACCCAGGTCTAAACTGAAAATTAATCGATCTTTCATATACACCTTGCACACATAGCCTGTGTTTGTGTACACTGAACCATCAGAAAGCAAATATTTCACTATCTTAGGCACCCGTGTGGACCATTATGGATTTGGAAGTCTTTCAGATTTCAGAATTCCAGCTAAGGGATGCTCAATCTGTATTTCATATATAAGTAAGATAGCAACTTAGATAGCAGATAGGTATTGTTCTTTGAGTGGAAATCCACTCAGAGTCCTACTGGAAAAAAGGAGTAGAAAGGCCGTTTTTATTGTATTTTTTCCTTTAAAGCACCCTGAATCTTTCACAAAGGCTTCTTTGGGCACTAAAAACACCGAGGAAAGCTCTAGAGAAGAGAGAATGGATAAAAATTAATTTGCCTCCAAATCCTGGTCCCATCCAGACAGGCTCAAAACATGGGATCTGTCTCAGTTTTTCCAGAGGTGTCCAAATGACACCTCTGGTAAAAGCGAATTAATGCAGTGTAAAGCAAGGTTTCCTTGGTTTATTATATATATATATATATTAATTAAATACCTCATTAGATCCAGGCCTTCCTAAAAGGCCCAGATCCAATGAGGTATTGTGTCTGTGGGGACTGACTTCTAGGGTCGCATTCCGGGAATCAGTACAAACAGCCATCTCACACTTTTGGACTCCTGGAGAAAATGACACATCACCAGGTGGTGGGGGAGAGATTTCCCCACTCCCCTCTCCTGATGCATCATTTTCTCATAGCAGGAGGACTGTAGGGAGAGACCTGTGCTGCCAGCAGGCTTTTTGGGGCCCAAAGGTTTTAAGTTTTGGGGCCCAAATAGGGGGCTTTGGGATGGTTTCATGCTATCCTGATTTCAAGCAGGATAGCATGTAGCCACTCTTGAAGGAAAGTCTAGTGCTTTGGTTGGGGGATGGAGACTAGAACCCTCACTGAAGCAGGTTACTTTAACCTATTTTGGTGCGGGATTTAGCCATGTGTGGAAGTGTCCCCAGAAAGTCCTTGCTGAGTGTCAGTAATTCTGTTAACAATCCACAATTTCATGTTCTATCACATGTAGCTTTAGTGTTAGAACACAGTATATAATTATATATACTGTGCAGGAGAATCTGAATAACTGATGCTATTGCCTATTGGGGGGTGTGCCCTCATCAATGAAAGTATTTGTACAGGTACATCAGCAAGCAAGATCAAAATATATGTTGCTTATTAACAGATTTAGAGGACACAACATGTATAGATTCTCTGGAATAGACTGGGATGCAGCATATAAAGCACATATGTATGTTTGTATTTTGGAAAGAGGACTTAGGAAGCAAATAATCCACACAAGAGGAATTCTAAACTGAAAAGAAATAACATGCTGGTAGTTCCCAACAGGATTTGAAAAATCTAAAGACATAAGTCTGCTACGACACTATCAAATATATGCTGTGTGAAGTTGAATACATTTTGATTAGATTTGCTAACCTGCAGTATTGAAGGAACTTGAATAAAAAGTATAAACAAACTTCCTTTGAAAAATACATTCCCCCTCAAACATGTTAGAAACTACCAGTTTTTTTCAGTTTCTTTTTTCTTGCCTTTTTATTTTCTTTTGCTTTTTCCTTTCATCTATATTTGATACATCACAGTTTTGTGCTTTTTAGATCCCCCCAGTTGGTTGATTTTCAAATAAAATGTCCAGATTTTTTGTGACTTCTAAAAAAATTTCAACTGTTGAATAGCCTTCTCTACACTGAGAATTGTAATGTATGACATAGATAAGTTTTGAGCATTTTACTGAACAGTTAATGAAACTATAATATGCCTTATAATCATGTGTAAATTAGTATGTACTCACGCATTTACACTATCAAAATTCTTAAAATGCAATTCTTAAAATCCAACATTGTCCCTTAGAAAGTAGTTGCTCACTGAAATCTCTTTGCATATTTTGACTAAACTGGAGGGGAAAAACACTTATTCATATTGAGTCTATATGCATGTAAGTAAGTCAGCACCGTATGCTAGGACTTACCGTTAGTCCTAGTATAAGGTGCTAGCTCACTTTTGAGAATTAAAATACTCTCTGCCATGTAATAAATAAAGTTATGATCATCTTAAAATAATTTCTTCCCGTACACAAATGTCCTTGTTTAATCAAATGTCCTTGTTTAAACTTTTCTTTTGAACAGATGTGTGTATCTCATTTTTGGTAATAATATATATAATTTTGGGGGGAGGTTAAATCTATTTAAGTTACACATATATTATATTTGGAGAGATCAGTTATACTCCAGAAGGAAAGGTTGAAACAATCCAAAATCACCATGTGAGCAGCCAAATGAAGCAAGGTTTATCAATGACATTTGTTAAAAACTATATTTAACATGATTTGGGGGCAGCATGCTTTTTTTCCCAAATGTTCGTATTAGAAGAGTTAAGAACATGGAGCTATCCAAAATCAAGAGCAAGACTAGCAAACAACTAGAACTGAATGCAGCTTTCTTCACTTACAGGTCTTGCAGCAGCCATCATTAAATGTCTGTATTGTGCCTCCATTCTAGAAAAATTTAAAGAAAATATTTCAAAAAAGACTGTGTCCAAAGAAACATTTTGATATATTTATATAGTAGATGTAAAGAAAGAGGAAGGCAGCCAGATGGAAAGTTAATGCACATATTTCCTTAAGTTAACTATATTAATAGTTTACATTATAAGGAAATTCAGCTTTACAACAACTGTTAACAGATAAAAGCACTGTTTTCTTGTCATAAATCATCAGTGGAAATCTTGGTGCTTAATATAAGCTACAAAATTAGCCTTAGGTGTTATAGTTTGCCAAAAATTGCAAATTGCATGTTTGCAATTGCACAAAACAAATTGTTTGTGAACCTCATCAAATGCAATGTTTACTGGAAAATGTTGCACCAACAGTGTGATGGTAACAGCAGTGTGAACCTCTTCTATCTACCCTCATGTTGAGCTTTCTGATTTAATTAATATACTGTCAATATCTAGTTGGTCTAATTTTTTTTAATTCAGGCTTTTGGTATGTGTTTAAAGTGAACTGATTCTTTTTGTGGCTAATCTTGATAAATTAGGACCAATTCACATTGAATGAAAGAAGTAGGGTAACATTTCAGAAGTTATTTGGTTTGTGGCATGGAGGCTATTGTTTTACAAGCACTTGTAAAAGACACTTGCAGAATTAATCACATGAATCTTTGGATCTGAGTTTTTAATAAGTCCAGAATAAACTCTAAATACCTTGCAGGAATTTTATCTACAGACCTAATAATACCTGTTGGTCTACTAACATCCTTGGTTTATATTCAGTTATACATCTAACATAGCCTGAATTATGTAATTTTTACTCAATTTTAAGGGCATTTGCCTCAGCATAGACACTCAACAAATAAATTAATAGAATGTTATTAATTGAGAACTTTGCTGATTACATACAATCCTGACCACGATTTCTCTTATCCAATTATATGTTCTAGTAATCATTATTCCAAGGGCAGAAGCAGATTTATGAATAATTAATTTATGTAAATAGGTCTATTCTCTCTGAAAATGCAGTGGAATAGCCTATAACATAATCAAGGTTACTTTCTGTGCAACAATAAATTTTGTGGGCTCTAGATAAAGACATTTGCTTCCCTATAGGTATGCTTAAGATCAAAGACCTACTCAGACAAATTAAGTAGTATTAGTTATCAATGTTTAATGAAATATTCAGCAGTGTTATTTATGGCATAATTCATATTGGACTAAATCCAATATTTGTCTCAATTAGAGTATGTATAACCAGTGAAATAAATGAAACTGTCAGTCTCCACATATGCAGTCTCCATTGATTTCAATCTGTTTAATTGAGATTGACATGGGATTTAGCCTAATGAAAATAATGGAAATTGTTGCATATAATTATACTATATTGCACAAACAAAATTAAAATCATAAATAAAAATGTATTTTCAGTTATTGTTCCCATTTTATATGATACATCATAAGTACAAACCTTTGTACACTCAGTCTCATTAAAAGGTGGGCAAATGATGCTGGATCCAAGTACTATTGCTCCTATAGCAGTCTTTGTACACTCATATATAATACAATTTGAGACCCATGTGCTTCCGTCCTAAAAAGTTAAAGGAAAAAGATTATTCTACCAGAACAGTTGTCCAGAAGATAAAAAAATTACTATTACTGTGCAAGTTCTGATAAAGTAGACTTAGTCTGTGAAAGCTTATACTACCTACTTCTTTCTCTCAGCTAGTCACAAGGGTGCTACAAGATCCCTTTGCAAAGTAAGAATAGTTTCTATAATACAGACTTCTCCAAACCGGGGCAGCTGCCCAGTTTAAAGATTCCCACTTTTATAGTTCATAGAATCTGGGTGGCACCCAATTGGAGAAAAACAATTTAGATCTTGGTTTATTGCTCCCCTATAAAGCAGGATCCAAATATTAGGAACAAACCCAGGTTAGTTTAGCCAATCATATTAGCAGGAAAAGTCAAGCAACATTGCTCAGCGCAATAAGCTACATTTCTTCACATTTCTTGTTCCATTGGCAATGTGGCCAATTTTAGACTCAGGGATTGCCTGATTCTAACTTCAGAAGAGAGGCAGGCATTGGAAATGAAAAAGATTAATCTAAGAAGTATTGTATTTCTTGTTTTGGTCTGTTTGGTATGACATTTATCACCTAAGAGTGCATTCAGGTAGCAGATCTTAATATTTACTGATCTGTAACAACTATCCTTTGAATACAAGTATACTGACTATATAAAATGACTTGGAATCAAAGATAGTTTGAATTAGGTAGAGAAATATAATGTATAAAACAAGTTTGATATTTAAAGACATACAGATTAAGAATTACATAATCACTACACCCATTGACCTTTTTTAGATTTTTGTACACAGACTTACTTCATAAACAACTAGGGTTCCATTGTCAAAATCGAAGAGGCATGATACATTTATGCAAGAACCACAACAAGAGTGCTGGCTAAGAGAAGGAACGTATTCTTGGTGCTGTTAAAAACAGAGAAAAATGTGTGGTTTTTAATATCCATCTACACTATTGCTTTCAAATACATATAGCTAATTTTAAACAAATTATTTTTATCAAAATTTAAGAGCTGAGATGGTAACCATATTGTTTTCCATGAATATTGTTTGAAAATTGCTTTAATGCCACACAACTATACATAAGGTAAAATATGCAGCCACCCTGTAGGAAACCTACTGCCATTAGCTGCTAGAGCAGTGGTTCCCAATCTTTGTTTTACCAGGGACCCCTTGACCAGAGACCACTCTCCAACATTAGTACCTAAAGGGTTATAAATCAGTTTTTGGTGAACTTTAGATTCAGTTTGGTTATTTGGGGTGTTGATTATTTATTTTATTTATTTATTTATTTATTTGCTTCATTTGTATACCGCTCTTCTCAGCCCTCAGGCGACTCAGAAAACTGCACTGGATAGACCAAATCAGCTCTAGTTTTTGATACAGAACATATGCCATCCAGTAGTAACCATCTGCTGACCCACAGAAAACCATATTTAATAAGCCTCAGCACTATAAGAGGGCTTTGTGAAACCAGTTGCTCTCATTGCAATGCTGTAGTAACAGTAAAGCCACAGACCATATTTTAGTTTTTGCAGACCACCGGTGGTCCGTTGACCACAGGTTGGGAACTACTGCGCTAGAAGAATTAAGACAAGGACTTTTGTATTCACGTTATGTATTCATTGGATTGGTTTAAAACTTGGTAAAATTGTAGTTTACTTACACAACAGTGTGAGCAGCAGGACTCATTCTACCTCTGCTGTGGCTGCATGGAGTTGCCTGTACTAATATTGCTATTAGTACAGGGAGAAGGGAGCAAGCTTGTTTTCTGATGCCCTAGAGACTAGGACGTGGAGCAATGGCTTCAAACTACAGGAAAAGAGATTCCACCTGAACACGATGAAGAACTTTCTGACTATGAGAGCTGTTCAGCAATGGAACTCTCTGCCCCGAAGTGTGATGGAGGCTCCTTCTATGGAGGCTTTTAAACAGAGGCTGGGTGGCCATCTGTTGGGGGTGCTTTGAACACGATTGTCCTGCTTCTTGGCAGGGGGTTGGACTGGATGGCTCATGAGGTCTCTTCCAACTCTATGATTCTATGATTCTATCCTTTTTAAATAGATTTCCAAGACAGCTGCAGTTTACTAAAAATAATTTCACTCCTGTAGATTAGCAAAACTTACATCTTCACATTTCTGGGAGCAGTTTACTACTATCAGGTCCATAGCATGAAATCCTGTGCTGGGATCTTTCTCCTGTGAACATTTTGCTGTGTAACAAAGATCTCCATTCAAATATTGAATCATGGCTTGACCAGGGCTCAAAATGGTTACTTCTTGGAATACACAGACATTGTCCTTTTCTAATGTAAAAAATAGACTTTTGTCAAAATACGTTACTCATTTAAATCTGTAGAAACATACTGTACTAAAAAGGAACTGCGATTTATAAATTACTTTTCATAACACTACTACCACATAAATATATTATTCTCTCACACATACATAATGTGCAATTATGCATAAATCTCATTGCATTGTATTATATATAAACACCACTAAAATGTGCATGACTCTAGAGAATAAATTTTAAGTATATATATGTATTTTCCACTCAGTACAGGAGTTGGTGGATTTCCTCACTTAACATGACTAATATTATAACACTATCCTGAATTTATTTACTTTCTAATGAATATCACATTTTTTCCCCAGTGGGGTATATGTGGAGCAGCATTTGTTAATCACTTGGATAACATAACTTGTTTAAAAAACAGAAGATACAACTGATTTGACATATTTGTATTCTAGATCTTTGTTGTCTTCTCATTTAAATGCCATTTTTAAAGTTTATAAAGAACATAAGAGATTGTTTTAAAGCAGAAAGAAAGAATTAATCAAACTAAATATGAATTATATGAAAGTAATATATTATTTACCACAAATGTACTGAGGGCATCCACACATGCCAGAAACATTAGAATCTATTTTCTGAATTTCTCCCTGCAACATTTAAAAATATTTTAGCATTATGTATGTCCAATCCTATATAAGCACAAAACTGTAATTTCACCCCCCCAAAAAAATGCTTAACCAACTCCAAAGGCATATACTAGCACAAATGAAAGTGGTCCTGGGGTTTTGGGGATGAATGAGCAGGGAAGATCTTCCCAACACACACATTTGCTGATGTAAGTGGTTTCAACAACAGATATCCCCTGATGGATCTTGGCCAAGATAAGCAAACTACAGTACAACAATTCCAGATTCCTTCCACACACAATTTTGCTTTTTGTATGCATTACAGGTTATGCATGCATTTGTTTATATATCCTATCTAGATTTGAGGGGGTGCACAATAACTTATTCTGCATAATCTGGTGACACAATCACATATTCAGAATTAAATACAGCCTCAAAAAAGCTGTAAAATAAAAGGCAAGGATATAATTCAGTAATAACCAACCAAACATTTCTTACCACTTTGCAAGCTGGTACAGTAGCATTTTCACAATCACAATCTTCATAAAGAAAGGAGCATAGGAGGGAGAAAAACCAGTAGATCAATATAATCATGCAAGGTTAAAAATATGTCATAAATGGTTAATTCAAGTAATTAGGAGAGAAACAAATGGTACCACAAGTCCAGTCTGGGCAACACTGTCCAGGTACTCTTTTCTTCACTAACTTCATATCAGCAGAACAATTCAGAAGAGGTACGTGACAGAGAGCTTCATCACAGACTACAGAAAGAAAAATTGAGTAGTTAGAGATTATTCTCATAATTTCAAGTGGAAAATTAATTTAATATCCAACTTTCTGCTATGTTTTGCTATTTTAGTTGCCACCTTGAATTAATGGCTCAAAAACTAAATGAGCTATTTTAACTACACCTAAGAGATTTAATATCCCTGGTGGATTTTTTTTGTCTTTTTATATGAAAAAAAAACCCTTTCTCAGTCATAACAGAAATTACTGTTAAAATATCCCTTCACACACAGATTCATGCTGTGTAACATAAGAGACAGTTGCTTCAGCTGAAAAACTTTTGCTGATGTGGATATTATCGTATTTTGGTTGTTCTTCAGAAACTGTGTGTTAGGGTGATAATAGAAATGCAGAACATACATTTATGGACAAGTTCAATAGTAATGATGGCTGTTGTGGGAGGAACAAGACAGAAAGAAAGATGTTGCCTTTAGGCTATTCAGACACACAGTCTGCCCATAAAGGTCTGTTCTTAGACATGCTGTTCCATGCATCTGAGGAAACACATTTAATGTACAAAAACTTATGCTACCAACTTTATTCTCTTTAAGGTGCTACAAGACTCTTTTGCAAACTGATATACCAGACTAGCATGACTATGCCTTTGAATTCTTCCCAAAATTTCATTCTTTATACATGCTACAAAGAAAAGTAGTCAAGTACCATAGGAGCTGGTATCATTCACTGAATGCTATCTTCCCCCTGCCACCCTCCCAAAAAAGAACAACAGCAATCTTCATCAAATTTAAGGCATAGATTAGAATTTAAACAAAGCAAACCATACCACAGTGGTAGTGAGGGCAACAATAGTGCGTAGTGCTACGATCTACAGTGATAATTTCTCCTTCATTACATAGTGGGATAGGTTCAATGCAGGATTCACAAACTACAAGAGAAGATAATTTAAACATCAGTTTGAAAATATATAACATTTGTTTCTTGAGAGTTCTATAATGTCTCAGTTTATCTTCTCGAGTGGTCACCAACAACTACAAATTGACTTCTTTTTTACTGAATACTTCGAATAGATTTTGTAGGTACATAAGCATTATACTAACATTTAATTATATGTCTTTTATTAATTTCTTAAAATTCCATGTCTTACTCTGTCCTATCCTGAAAGCTATTTTTAAATTTGAAATTACATTTATACCTGTCCATCCATAGTCATTTTCCTGACTTTCCAATGTGCAGTTTCTGAACAAAAGTAATGTATTGTTGCTTACCTGTAACTGAGTTTCTTTGAGTAGCCATCTGTGAAATTCATACATATGGTAGTTGCCAGCGCAATAAGCCTTGGAAGCTTCTGGAAAGCTTTAGCCCTTTAAGGCTATATCCCTGCCCACCCTCTCCATCATGCATATAACCGGTCGAAGGGGTTGTAGCCTCAGTTCCTTTGCTGCCTATAGCAGCCAAGAATGAAGGTATGACTGGAAGTGGGGAGGACAGGTGGGACTGTGCGAATTTCACAGGTGATCACTCAAAGAAACATGGTCACAGGTAAGCAATCATACATTCTTCATCGTGGTCTCTGTGAAAATTGCACATATGGTAGATAAGCAAGCTACTGACCTTGCATGGCAAACATCATGCCACTGATGACAGGAGGACTACTTTCCCAAAGGTCATATCCTTCCTGGATGCCACATACATCTTGCAATGGGACATGAATGTAAGTGGGGTCACCCAGATGGCTGCTCTGCAAACCTCGTGAAGGGGAACCCCTCTCAGGAAGGCTGTTGGTGTCACCATTGACCTTGTAGAGCACCCTTTAAGATTGTCAATGGATCCCAGACTGCCAGCTGATATGCTAACCAGATTGTGGAGACTATTGATAAAGAGAATCCCTGTCATGAGACCGGCAGCCCCAACTTATCATTCCTAAATTTCAAAAATAGTCTAGAAGTTTTCCTGTAATCCTTTGTGCAATGAACATAAAAAGCCAGAGCCCTTTGTACATCAAGGACGTGCAGGGACTACCAAGGTGAGGATGGGTTTTGGAAAAATGCAGGTAAGACTATTTCCTGCAATAAATGAAATTGGGAAGCTATTTTTGTAAGAAAAGAAATGTCAATTTTGAGGAGCACCTTATCTTTATGAAACTGGGTATATGGCTCATCTACTCGCAATGCACATATCTCACTGGATTTTTGGGCTGGTGCAATGGTAACTAAAAATGCTGTTGTCCAGGATAAGTAAGACAGAGAGAGAGATGCCAAAGGTTCAAATAAAGGTCTAGTGAAGGCTGACAAGACAAGTTTAAGCTCCAAGCCATGACTAGTGGGGAGATTAGAGGACAAAAATTCATATCCCTGTAAAAACAATGTCATCAGCGGTCTGCAAACCAAGAGGCCAACCCAGCATTTTTCCTGTAAGAGGACATTGCAGCTACATAACACTTCAGTGTTGACAGCGACAACCCTGCAGCTGACAATGATACCAGGAAGTCTTAGATAAGAGAATTTGGGGCTGTCAGGGAATCCATGCCTGTCAACTTCATGAAGGTAAGAAATGAGTTTCACTTCCCCTTGTATGAGCACTTTGTAGAGTGGCTTTGAGTATGGCCTTTACATGTTCTGAAAGAGCATTGTCTGTATTCTCCATGCCATTAGGTGGAGTGATGGACATCAGGTAGAAGACTTGCACCTGCTAGGCTGACAGTAAGTTGGGCCTGAGAAAGAGATGGGCATATTTCCCCTTGAAGAGACACAGGAGAAGTGCAAACCAAAGCTCTCTGGGCCACCATGAGGTTATTATGATGCAATCGGTGGCATCAGCATGTATCTTGGATACCACTCACATGAGGAAAGGAATAGGAGGAAATGTGTAGAGGAGAACTTGGCACCAGGTGAAACGAAACATGCCTCCTAGGTATTCCAGGTTGAGAGATGGAGGTGGGTGCAATCCCCTTGGAAATTTTGGCATTTGTGGTGATGCAAAAAGGTTGATTTCTGGGTTGTCCCATCTGTGAAACAGGTGATAAGCCTCCTGAGGATGGAGGAATTGGTTGTGAGAATTGTACGATACCCTGCTCAAGTGATCGGCTACTATGTCCTCATCCCCCGATAGATGAAATGCCTTGGGATATATTCCTCAGAGAAGGCACCAGTCCCAAATGCGAAGCACCAGTCTCAGAAGTAGTCAAGTGTGTTCCTCCCTGCTTGTTCACATACCAAGCGGATGTTGTGTATCTGCAAATACTTGCTCCACTTGGCCTGTGAGCAAGGGTGCGAACACTCCGAGGGCCTCCTCAATTGCTAAGAGCTCCAACCAATTTATATGGTGGTGTGCCTCCTCCAGTGACCATGTTCCCTGAACTGTTAAGGCATCCAAATGTGCTCCCCACCCTCACATGGATGTTTTTGTGGTGAGCATCACCAAGGTCTCTGGGGCCTGAAAGGCAAGACCAGCACACACATTTGCACTTCTTGTCCACCACCATAGTGAACTGCACACGGAATGGTAAGTCGAGTCCGAGTGGCATCCTAACGAGAGTAGAACACTGCCAGGAAACACTGCTGCAGTGGGCAGAGGTGCAATCATGCCATTGGCATTACTGCTGTAGTTGACACCATATGCCCCAAAAGTGACTGCACCACTTTGGCCCACACCCATCGCTTTCATATGGCATGGAGCACTACTGATTATAGGGCCCTGAAACAGTCCTCTGGCAGATAGGCCTTGTGTTCCACTGAACCCAGTAGTGCCCCTTTGTGTGGGGCAGAGACAGGATTTCTCCATATTGATGATATGCCCTAAGTCCTGTAGTAAGGATAGAGTAAGATGAATGTGGGATTCCAATTACCACCAGCACCAATCATTAATATAGGGATACACCATAACCCCCTTTAAGTGGAGGTAAGCTGCCGCCAACACCATGCATTTTGTGAATACCTGTTGTGCCATCGTGATTCCAAATGATAATACTCAAAAACAAAATGCTGCCCCAACTGTCACAAATGAAAGAAACTGATGTTGCCCTTGCCTAGTTGCAATATGAAAATAAGCATCCTTTATATCAATAGTAGCAAACCATACCCCTTCCTTTAGAAGGGGAAGGATCATGGAGAATATCACTATACAAAAGCGCTGAGGTCTAATGTACACATTCAAGCCTCTTAAGTCTAGGATTGGCCCCTGTCCTTCTTTGGCACCAAAAATATCATGAAAAATAAGAGTATGGAAACTCAACCAGCTGCAATGGTGCTGTTGCCTTTTTCTGGAGTAATATGTTGACCTCCTTCCACAACACCAATGACCAGGGTGTAGAATAAAGCCGAACAATCTCCAGCAGTTTGCAAAATTTGATAGCGTATTCTCTCTCTATTATCTGCAACACTCATATGTGTATAGTGATAGCATACCACTTAGATAGGAACATTGTGAACTGTGCTGCGAACACTGGAGAGGAGGGATTCAGGGTGTGGGTAGCAGTAGCCTCGGGGGGGACGGGGACACACATGCAATCTGTTGTGCAAGGGAAGTTGTATGAGTGAAAGTAGTGCCCACCCTTTACCTGGGAGGAAGAATTTCATGGGTGCTGGAAATGACCAATGAATCAAATCCAATGTTAGTACCACACAGAGTTGCCCCATTGAAATTAATGAGTCTTACATAAATCCCATTTATTTCACAACTAGAATTGTTTAAATGGCTGAATTGTCCAAGACAGACAGAAGAAAACAAATATGTGCACATTATTCAAAGCACCTCCATTCCACCATCTTAAATCAAGGATATTTTGTAATCCACTTTACATAGTAAAGTCTACATTTCCTTTATTCACTGATATTTTACCATTCTTTGCTTATTCAGAAAACTGTCACAAAAGGAAAGACATCTTACCACACAAATAAGAGAAGCAGCAAGGATCTTCCCGTTTTGCTTCAACAATAAACTGATCTTCTCTGCATTCAGGGCGGGAAGCATTTGGGCATGCTGATGGGTCACAATCTGAACCAAAAAAAAAAACCCTTGTAAAATACAGTTAATTAATTTGTGCTCAAATGCATTCTGCATGTTTAGATAAAAATATTTCTCAAATAATACTTTCAATTTATTACTTACCACATCTGTACTGAGGACAACAGTAATATGGTCTGTACACAGCTATCAGTTTTTCTGTACTTTTACACTTTGGTATGATAGAGTCACACAAGGTCATGTTGCATTCTAAAAAAATAAAAAACAAAGACTGGATCTTTAAGCACAATCATGTTCAACACTCTTCTGTAAATGAAAATGTTTCAAAGGAAAATGAAAAAATTTAATATAGATTTTATGCACTTTGGGATGTATTCAATCTTGTTATATATTGAAGCAATTTGTGTTAACACAAAATAAATGTAGGACATGAACAAATTGTGATGACATCATTTCAAATTGCCAGCCAATATTATGAAGAACTACTTAAAATATTACAGATCACATTGCAATGGAAGCAACAAAAACAACTTTGTGGATGTAGTGCAGAATCATAAACATGCTTAGGAAAGCTTCCTCCATTGCTGGAAACTCAGTGCACAGCTAGAAAGCCAAAGCTGTTCTCTTATATATTTTTTCTGGAATGCTTTGTGATAATTTCTTCTCCTTCCTCTTCCCTTTCCCTCCTTCCAAACATACTTGTTTGTTTTCATCCTCACTTTCACCTTACAACACCATCTTGAGATAGGTGAGGCTAAGAGAAAGTATTTTGTGTAGCATGATATAGTGAATGTCATGGCACTATGAGAGCCCAAACCTTTACCTCCCAAATCCAATTTAATCTCTGCACATTCTATTTTAAGCATTCTACAGAATTTGGTAAATAGTGCTAGCAGGTCTTGATCAGTCTATTTATGTCCTTCATTTTACATATGTGTTAAGACCTAATTGCTGTTTTACACGTTTATTTGTATTATTGTGTAGGCATCGAATTGTGCCTCTTTGTAAGCCGCCCTGAGTCCCCCCTCAGGGGTTGAGAAGGGTGGGGTAGAAGTACACGAAATAAATAAATAAATAAATAAATAAATATACCTTGCTCTATGAGCAAGTATGATCAGACTGGTATTGGATTTTGTACTTCCTTCAACAACCATTGTTCTCCTCGATGTTGAATGAGTGGAGTCTTTTCATAGCTTATCAAGAGTTTCCCGCCCTTTCTAAAGCTTCAGAAATGAATTTACCCATGAGAAATTACTTTTCCTTTAACATAAGCAACATGTCAAATAGTTTAGCTTTCACTGCATTCTGCACAGAGATCAATTCTGGAAGGTTATACCAGCTCATAAATATTACCTACCACAGATTTTCTTTGGACAGCAAGCTCTTTCTTCAATAATATTAATAATCACTTCTCCCTCCCGCTGACATATTGGAGATGGCTCTTTTTTGCATTCAGGCTCTATAGAAATAATGCTCCCATTCTCCAAACATTTATACATGCAGCATCCTTTATTGGAGCCATTCCAAACCTCTCCAGCTGAGTGGGGATACCCGTCATTATCAGTACAGGCTATGGATGCAAAACACAATGACATCCCATCAATACTCACAAGAAAAAAAAAGATGATATAAAGATAATTTTGGTGTGACCATGGAACAACAGACTGGTTCAAGATTGGGAAAGGCATACGGCAAGGCTGCATCCTCTCACCCAACCTTTTTAACTTGTATGCAGAACACATCATGCGATGTGCGGGGCTTGATGAATGCAAAGCTGGGGTGAAAATTGCTGGAAGAAACATTAACAACCTTAGATATGTGATTGATACCACTTTGATGGCCGAAAGCAAGGGGGAGCTGAGGAGCCTTCTAATCAAGGTGAAAGAAAAATGTGCAAAAGCTGGGTTGCAGCTAAACATCAAAACAACCAGATTATGGCAACAAGAATGATTGACAACTGGAAAATAGAGGGAGAAATCGTGGAGGCCGTGACAGACTTTGTATTTCTAGGTGCAAAGATTACTGCAGCTGCAGACTGTAGCCAGGAAATCAGAAGACGCTTACTTCTTGGGAGGAGAGCAATGTCCAATCTCGATAAAATAGTAAAGAGTAGAGACATCAGACTGGCAACAAAGATCCGCCTAGTCAAAGCCATGGTATTCCCTGTAGTAACCTACGGATGTGAGAGCTGGACCTTAGGGAAGGCTGAGCGAAGGAAGATCGATGCTTTTGAGCTGTGGTGCTGGAGGAAATTTCTGAGAGTGCCTTGGACTGCGAGAAGATCCAACCAGTCCATCCTCCAGGAAATAAAGCCCGACTGCTCACTGGAGGGAAGGATACTAGAGACAAAGTTGAAGTACTTTGGCCACATCATGAGGAGACAGGAAAGCCTAGAGAAGACAATTATGCTGGGGAAAGTGGAAGGCAAAAGGAAGAGGGGCCGACCAAGGGCAAGATGGAGGAATGGCATCCTTGAAGTGACTGGACTGACCTTGAAGGAGCTGGGGGTGGTGACGGCCGACAGGGAGCTCTGTGGGGCTGGTCCATGAGGTCACGAAGAGTCGGAGACGACTGAACGAATGAACAACAACAACAAAGATAATTTTCATGTAATACATATCTGTTTCAAAATGTCATAAAACTTCCACATGAAGTTTCCAGTCAAAGGCTTTGCATTTTTCCTATATTGAAGGGGAATTTTGTCTTTGACATTTGTCCTAAATGTGACAACCTGTTTTGCAGACTAGAGGTGGTTAATAGTTTATCATTTGTCAAATCACCCATTTGATCTGCACTGTAATAAAATGAATCAATAGCTTTATATTCATGTGAAAATTAAGAAGGATCATACTGAATTAATTCCCTCTAGTCCACTACATTTCTGGTATTCAGAAGAATACTGCCACTAAGAAAGACGCGGGGAAATTTTGACCTTCCATATATTTTTAATTTGAATTCAAAGAAGTCTCGGCCAGCAAGGGTAAAGGATAATGGAAGTTGTAAGCCAACAAGGTTAAAGTAAAGGTAAATATTTTCCCCTGACATTAAATCCAGTCATGTCCGACTCTGGGGGTTGGTGCTCATCTCCATTTCTAAGCCGAAGAGCCGGCATTGTCCATAGACACTTCCAAGGTCATGTGGCCAGTATGACTGCACAGAGCGCTGTTACCTTCCCACCAGAGCAGTACCTATTGATCTACTCACATTTGTATGTTTTCAAACTGCTTGTCTGGCAGAAGCTGGGGCTAACAGCAGGAGCTCACACCGCCCCCTGGATTTGAACCTGTGACCTTTCCGTTAGCAAGATTAGCAGCTCAGCGGTTTAACCCACTGCGCCACCGGGGGCTCCACCAACAAGGTTAGCGTTACTCTAAAATATACCTCTGTGACAGACAGATTACTAAAACAGAATTAGATTTCTAATAAAACATACTCAACTTTTGTCAATACAACAAACAATAGGAAAGGAAACATGAGAATTGGGAAGCCTGTACTGACAATAACTGCTCCCTAAGCAACAAAAAGACTGCAGAAATAATAACACTGTGTAGTCTTCAGTGTCCTTCATTCAGTCTTCTTTTAATACATTAATAATGTTTCAACTGTTATTGATACTTACGTGGAATAAATTAGCATAGGCTGTAATTTTAATCTCAGAGCCGAAAATATACTCATCACAGTGAATACAAAAACTGGAGATATACTGAACTGTTAAGTTCACACTATTTGGAAAAAAGAAGACAGAGATAGAAACCATGCCTCTGTCCCACAAGAAAAATAAGCATGCTTGGGCTTTACAGGGGAAAATTTTGCTTACATAACTATAGATTTACTCACCACATTTTTCTTCTGGAATGCAGAGGTCAGAGGCTGTTCTATGAAGAATGGTCCCATTTTTGCAAACACAGTCTTCTCTTAAATAGGAGCATGGCGATTCTTCATAAAACCACTTATTTAGACATGTTTTGGCAGCACAGGGTTGCACACAAGGCTGGTATTCTTTCCCCTCAGGACAACTGAGTGCTAAATATCACACATGTAGAGGAACATAAGCAATGATAGCAGCCGGAAGCAAGTCACAGGTAACACAGCACTCACCTTTTGAAAGCTACTGATTTCCTAAAGTTCTGAGATGCTGCTCTAAAGTTATGAAGCATTAGAACTGTGAAAGTCTAAGAAAGTCAGTGCTGGCAAAATTATTTTGTGTATGCACGGTTTTATTCTAAAGAAAGATTCTGCAATGCGAAGTATACATTCAATACAGTCCCTTCAGTTCAGTGGTTCCCAACCTTTTTTTGACCAGGGACCACTCTCCAACATTAGTATCAAAAGGGATACAAATCCATTTTTGTCAACTTTAGATTTGGTTTGATTATTTGGGGTGCTGATTCAGAAAATTGCATTGGACAGACCACATCAGCTCTAGTTTCTGACACAGAACATATGCCACCCAGTAGTCACCATCTGCTTGTCCATAGAAAGCCATATTTAATAATCTAGAGCTGATGTAGTCTATACAATGCAATTTCCTGAATCAGTACCCTAAATAACCCCAGGAACAGGCCTAAAAATGAAGACACTAAGGTGCCCCCACATCCAGGCACCACACGAAATGGCTCCACTCAGGGTAAAGGAGGAGGAGGAGAAGAATGAGTCAGGAGGCTTGTTTTCACACCTTTCATGGGTAGTCCCCTCCCGATATCCCCATTGCCTCAGCACTATAAGAGGGTTTCACAAGACCAGTCACTCTTGTTGCAACAATGTAGTAATGGTGAGACTGCAGACCATATTTTTATTATTGGGGCCAACTGATGGTTCACGGACCAGAGGTTGGGAATCACTGCTTTAGTTGTTTGATCTGACTTGTCAGGTATAAACTACATGTTACCATACATGCAACATGTATATTACAGCCATTACTTTTACCTAATTGCAGGTGGCAAATTACTTTTCTGATTTATTATAACTGATGCATTCTGAAAAGTGGTGAATCTTACAAGCACAATATGTATGTAGAAAGACCTCCATTTGTTCAATGTAGTTTACTCTCAAGTAAGAGTCCACAGATAGCAGACAACTTTTACTTTCTTAGAAGAGCAAACAGTAATAGCCACCTTATTATTTTGTAGTGTTCTGTCACTGAGACACTTCTGACTCATAAGGCCTGAGAAGGGTCAACTATGGCAACAGCGTCCCAGTTTGTCCGATCATTTGCAGAAGACTCAATCCCATTACCCTAGTCTTAGAAGGTTTGAGCTTCCTGCATACCACACCATTTTCCCATTTCTGGGAACATGTAACACAGAGATAAGAACCATACTCATTGTAGCATATGGTCGCTTTATCCCTTTGCTCTCTTGTAAAACTGAATCACAACCATTTTTCTCCCTCAAGAGCTGCTAAGGTTCCAATTTTCTAGCTTTGTGAAGCTTCAGATAATCTCGGCTAAGCTTTAACTTTGGACTTTTTTCCTAAAGCAGAGGAGTTTTTAAAAATATTTTAATCCATCTATTTATCTATTTGCAATACGTTAATACTCATACAAGTGTAGGCCAGCAGTGGTAAGCATTGCTATTCCTCATAATTAAAAGAATCTTAGTTTGTACCCAATTTTGTTCTGACAACAAGGAATACAGAATAGTATTAAATGCTATTAATTAGACATGCGCACAAATAGTACAAAGGTCCAAGGCAAGAAAATCTGTCATGTTTTAGATAGCACTGAATAAAACTTCATCACTCATTCACACATTTTAACTAGGTACCACTATAAATTTCAAAAAAAGTGAGGTTTTTAAAATGGGTCTTCCTTTTCCTAACCCTTTAACATACTATATCAATCACATTGGGGAAAAAAGAAAATTCATGCCCAGAGAAAACAGCACCACACTTACAACAGTAATCTGGTGTTCTCCATTTAATGCAAATATTATGTTTGTTACACAATGCTACATATGCAGAAAGTGCATCACATTCATAATTCCAAAAGTAGGTATTGTTGATCCACATTTTCTCACAGAAGTCTTGTGGTGAAACCTAGATTATATTAAATGCAGAGACAAAAATAAATATATCTGTTAACATCTCATTATATACGTTTTCTTCAACATTCACTACAAAAAATTACAACAAAAACCAAACAAAGGTAAAGAGATAAACAGATTATAAATTCCAGAATCACCCCCACCCCCACCCCAAAATGGTCACTGGCCATGCAAACTATTCTGAGATTTGTAATCCAAAAGAGTAAAATTACAAAGCTCTCCTACCAAGTTCTTCATTTTAATGTAAATGTCTCAATATTTATTTTAATTAATTTTCATTGTTGTCTATCATTTTGAAGAATGTTATCTTTCAGCCAGTGAATAGCTTTAAAAAAAAGCTATTGGCATTGTCTTTTGAAATATTTCTTGATAATTTTTTTTGGTCTCACTCTAGATTGTTTTCTGATCCCTGATCACTTAGGTTTACTAGGGCAAAGCTGCTCTTTATGTGGTCTATAAATTCTGCAGGAATTTTACTTAGATTAAATTTTCGAAAATCAGGTTGAATACCTGTAACTATAGTTTTTAGAATTATCCTCTGTGAAGTCACACATAAGGGAGTCTTTCCATCTGTACAGATTATTTTAATTAAATTCTAGAGCTATTTTCATTCCAAATTCCACACAGCCCTTTAACCATGGAGCAATCAGGTTAAAGTCCACACACACCACAGAAAGCATGTGCTTTTAAGGGAGGGGGGAGGGTGTCCACATGCATTCCTGGAACCTTCTGGGAGGACAGGGAGACACTTACACCCCCTCCCCAAACCCCCTTAAAAAGGAGGGGGTGTAAAATAACTTACCTAGCCACTATTCCCCCTTCTCCAGAGCTCTCCTGTCATGTAGATATAATGTGCCAGGAGAAGGGGATCAGGAGCAATTTTATCCTCCCCACTTCTCCTGGTGTGTCATTTCTACATGACAGGACAGCTCCGGAGAAGGTAGAATGGTGGCTGGGTAAGTTGTTTTACACACCCTCCCCCCATTTTTAAGTAGTTTTGGGGAAGGAGTTAGAGCCCTCTCAGGTATTCTGGGCTGATTCGTACGGTCCCCTCAGAAGTCCCAGAACTTTCAAGGGGGCAGTCCAAACAGCAGCCATACTGGATTCAACGCAGGTCTTTCAGGAAGACATGAGTCTTTCCAGTATCAAATTACTTTGGCACAAAGCAGGATCTTCCTACTTTGTGCTGAAATCATTTGCTTTTATGTGGGGAGCTCACACTTTTGAGGGGCTGTCTGGATGTGCCCTATGTTCAATGTCCACCAGCAAGGCCAACAACCAAGAATGTAAAGCAGGGGAGGTGAGGGGAGGTGGGTAGGTTGTATGAGTTCACAGAGGACCACTCAAAGAACCACAGTTACAGGAAAACAACCTGCTTTTCTTTCTTGGTGCTTTCTTGTCTCTGGGATATTGCTAAAAAGATACACCTGGTGACTATGCTCACAGTGGCTGAAATACAGCCAACAAAAACACAGTAGAGCCCTTGGCCTGAATACCGAGTGGTCAAGCCCAAGTATCTGCTTGACAGATCAATTCTTCCTTGCTGATGTAGTCATTACTCCCTGAAGAGAGGTGACCACAACATCTCTTGGAGTGCAACACAATAGATGACTCTTCTGGGGGTGAAGGGTCTTAATGGTGTTTAGTCTTTGGACAGTATTTTTCTGAGCTTCCCTGACATACACAGAGCCCTTCACTACATTAAGGTATGCATTCAAAAATAGTTTTTCTGTATATTTTTAAAAGCATAACCACCTTTTCCCATAAAAAGTTAGTATTTTGTTTCTATTTATAAAGGTATACTTGTTTTGCTTTCATTCAGTCCATAACAAGATGCCACTCCGAATAATTACACAGCCAAACAAACAAAAATGTTTCATGTCATCTTAGTTTTTAGGCCTGTTCGTGGCATTATTTGAGGCACTGATTCAGAAAATCACATTGGATAAATTGTATCAGCTCTAGTTTCTTGGATATGGTTATCATTATTTTCTAAGTGCAAGTAGATAAAGTTTGGTATATGGCATATGTTCTGTATCTCAAAAATATAGAGTTAGTATGGAAAAACTAGTGCCATTTTTGGTATCAGTAGGTCAGACATACTCAGAAACAGGTCTAACATTTGAAGCACCAAAATGTGTGTTGCCCAGTGATATAAGTAATCACCCTAGTGTAGATTTCTCTGAAGTGGTCAAACTGATAACTAGAACTGTAACACATGTATACAAAAGTTGTTAACATATTCAATCCAGTATTACTGCACCCTAAATTTTAAGCATTGATCTTCTAGATATAAACTTGTTTGGTTGTTTTGGGGTTTTTTGTACTTACCTTTTTGTGACAAGGAGCAAAAACCCATCTGTTTAAGAGTTCCATACAATATGTGCAATTATCTTCTGTACAATTTCTTATAAGTCTTCTTGTCGTTACATCAATGGATTTCTCAATTTGCCAACTCTTTATGAAAGCCTCAATTTGTTCCATATTCGTGATCACTGTTCTGTTCTGCATTTTCAAATCATCAACTGGATCCCCATTACAGACACCTTGATGCCAACAAATAAATAAAAGGCATTACATATGCTAGGCTGCTTCTACACTGCCATATAATCCAGATTATAAAATCAGATAATCCATATTATCTGCTTTAAACTGAATTATACCATATGTGTTTATACTTATGTATTTTTGTCAACATGTGGCACTTGAAGTGCTTCTATGAGCCATCCCGAGTCGCTTTGGGGAGATGGTGGTGGGGTACAAATAAAGATTATCATCATCATCCTCATCATCATCATCATCATTATTTATATGAGTCTACACTACTATATAATCCAGTTCAAAGCAGATCTGGATATTATATAGCAGTGCAGAAGTGGTTCTAGACAGAAAGACAGAAATTATCCTTTAAAACTTCTGTTTGAGAGACAATCTCTATCTTCTCCTTCCTATTAGCTTTTCTCCCTATTAGCCCCTTTTTCTTGAATTCTATAACTTTTGGTATGTAAGGGTAAAAGGAATAGAGTGTCTGATGTTCTAAAAACACTACTGCCAGTCACAGTAAAAATACTTTGCTGGATAGGACATTACTCTGACACAATATCAGGCAGCTGCAAACATTCTGCACTGAAAGTATAAATGTATGAACTACTAGCCGTCCCCTGCCACGCAATGCTGTGGCCCAGTCTGTATATATGTGTTTTGTGTGTGTGTATATGTGTGTGTGTGTGTGCGTGTATATATATTTGTGTATATGTGTATATGTATGTTTGTGTTTATATGTGGTTTTGCGTATGTGTTGTAATTTTTTTTTGCTTTTAAAGTATCTTCTGATGTGTTTTTCAGTGTTTTTATGAGTTATGGTCACTCATTGGCCTGAGGTGTATTGTGTCCAAATTTGGTGTCATTGTGTCCAGTGGTTTTTGAGTTATGCTAATCCCACAAACGGACATTACATTTTTTATTTATATAGATTTGGACACTCTTTTTCCAAAATAGGATGTTTATAGAGTGATAACTATTATAATTATAGCAATAACTATTAATCTTACCACAGAGTCCTTCTGCTTTGGTAGATATATTCGAGTGAAAGCCATACTGGATATCTATAATGCCAGTAACATGGGCCCATTTAATGTTGATGCCAGCTGGTGTATTGATTACATACATAGCACCTGTGTCTTGAATACATAAGCCATTTTTCGAGAAGGGCAAAGACTGGATCATTGCATCCACAACAACCTAAAATAAAGTTTTTTTTAAAAAAACATATATTAGTTTTGATAACATGCACGAGGACCAGAAGTGGTAGTGTTCCTCTTTAGGAACTCTTTCTAACATATTAAATGACAAAGAAAGGACTGCTTTTTAAAAAACAAAGTAGCATATTGCTTTCTCTTTCCCAAGTTCTATTATCAAAAATAAAGTAACTTGTAGGATAGTCTCCTTTGCTGAGCAGCTGGCTTATATTCAAAGCTTATATTCAAGGTGATATATGGTTGGCACAAAAACTAAAGTAGCAAAATTTAAATACCTAGATCCAATATTGAGGACCAATAAACAACAATAAGCAACAATAAATATGGCTTGAATTCAAATGTTAGAACTGTCCTATTGCTGTACTTCTCTAATGGCTGTTAGTAATACAAATCATCAAGTTTACATAGCAATGGCTTGTATCCATCAGAGTCCTCCCACAACCAAAGCTGGGGACAACTGATTTGCCTTTTTGCTCCAGTAAAAGATTGCATGCACATTCATACACCCCAAGAGTTAAAATGTTACAACTAGTGCTATTTTTATGTAAGTATTTTTGGAGCAGAAAGCTCAACATTGTTCATCTCCCCATTTCCGGCTACTTTGATAAATCAATGTGCGATAAAAGGAATCTTCCTTCAAATTAATTAAGGCAGATTTCTCAATCCCAGAAGATTTCAGAGTTATTTGTCTATGTCTCCAATTTCATTTTTAGTAAAAACATTCTACAACTAATCTTTTTTTAACTTGCAACTCACCTTTCTGGCTAAACGATTGATAAGTACTGTATATAATGGAGTTGTTACGTTAAGTTTCTTAAAACAGAGACCTGAAGCACTTCCAGGCAGTGCCTTGAATGAAAAAAACAGAAAACATTTTTTGGAATGATCATACATAGTACCATAAATTGTATTGTATGTTTAAAGTTATATTAAAATCATTATTGGAAACATACTCACAAGCTTTCTTATTGAATTTGCACTCTGAAAAATAGTTGTAAACGTGGGTTAGAATTCCAGTTGCAAACAATGGCGTAATTCCAGAAATACTATAAATACTGCTACTTATAATTCAATATAAGGGCTTTTGCACAAGTAACCTTAATTAATGAATATAAATAAATATTGCTGCAAAACAGATGACTTCACTGATTGTACTAAAAACCCTCCAGCTGTATGCATTCTTGGAATAAGCCCCATATTTTGTACTTATTTCATGAGATTGTATAAATACTCAACATTAATTGTACAATTTGCATTTTCAGTACAGAAGCTTTGCTCTTTGATCTACTCATAGAAATTCCATATTTATAGATTCCACATCAATTGTAAAACATAATTGAGGCATTTTATTTTATTATCAACACTGAAATATGAGCACTCCCTATAAAGTTACTAACTTAATCTAAAACACATAATGTTGTATAATACCACACAAGTTTCCTACCTGATTAGTAGGACACTTTTCAATATGAGCCACAATAATTTCCGTAGGTAATTTGACCAAAATGTAGGAGGCTGCTTTATACAGTGCAAGGTTATTTCCATCAAATGTAATAATGCTCAATTCAGAAAGGACAGAACACTGACCTAGGAAAGAGCTGATAGTTAATGACATCATCATTAAATCTAACAATGCAGGTGTCTGTATTAAATTCAGGATCCATTATATTAGTAATAAGTCTTAGTCACGATATATTATGCATAAAGGTAAAGGTAAAGTAAAGGTTTCCCCTTGACATTAAGTCTAATGGTGTCCGACTTTGAAGGGTAGTGCTCATCCCTATTTCTAAGCTGAAGAGCCGGCAACATTGTCCATAGATGCCTCCAAGGTAATGTGGCCAACATGACTGCATAAAGCGCCATTACCTTCCTGAAGAAGTGGTACCTTTTGGTCTACTCACATTTGCATGTTTTCGAATTGCTAGGTTGGCAGAAGCTGGGCCTAACACTTTCAGTCAGCTAGTTCAGCAACTCAGTGGTTTAACCCACTATGCCACCAGGGGACCCTAATAATAATAATAATAATAATAATTATTATTATTATTATTATTATTATTATCATGCTTGATTCTTATATTAAAATATGAACATTTCACTGAACAGAAAATAATAAAGAACACTTTCAAGCAGCAAAACATAGTTACATTAACTATGCAATCTTATGCCGATTCAAAACAGAACTAAGTCCCTATTTTTTCAATGAGAATTATTCCCAAGAAAGCTTACATGGATTTGAAGTTACTTGTAAAAAAGAAATGGGTAGCAGTAATGATAATGGTTCTACACATTGAACAGACATGAATGGTCATCTCAGGGTTTGCTTTTCCCTGTAGTGGCATACTTGTATCTGCTATTCACAAATTCCAATTCCAGATCAGAGAACTGTGATGCAGATTACTACCAATACTATTGTTTCTGATCAATCCCTGGAGTTGATACCTGTCTTTGCCCCTGACTATATGGGTTTCTTATACTCCCATCATTCCAAATTATAATCAGTTGTTAATATATATATCATAATTTTCAGACTTTTATGCCATCTATGCAAAGACTTACAAGGACATTCCCATTCTGGACAGCAGCTGTCACTGTTAATTTGAACTGGCATCCCTCGAAAACCACAGTTTGGTTTCTCCACATTTCTATGACAGTTCCTTGAAAGGTTGTACAGCATCCATCCCATATTAATGCACACATACTGAGAACACTGGTCTACTGGATCGAGATACCGTGGCTGTTCCATGGCAAAGAGAAAAGCTGGTGTTATTAAAATCATTATTTTATTTTTGGAGCAAAGTTTCTCCATTACTACAGGTGGAGTGTGACTACTGTAGTAGGAATGAGTGTGCTAGTAAATCTGATATAGATAATTAAAGTGATTAAAGTGTAAGCAGATAGCTTTAATAAAAATAATAATAAATAACATAATTTGTCCCAGTGAGGATTATTAAGTACACAAAGTACACAAGAGTGCAGATATGCAGGAATTATTTAGGAAGAACTGGACACTGAAGCAACGGAATTTCAAAATGTATATAGACAGAGATGTTTAAAGTAGTAATAAACACAAACAGGAAAAATGCCAGAATAGAACTTTTGAATAAAATTAGGATACAAATTAGAATAAACAGCAAAATAAATAAGTAGGCAAAACTGCTCTTACCGTGCATTCTGGATATGTTGCAGACATAAAGGAATGAACCATTGTGCCAAAGGAGGCAAATTCTGCACCCTCTGTTGTCATTACTCCCATTTCCACCTGTGATGTTTGTGTTCCCAGAGACACTGAAGTAGAGTGTGATGAATCTGTTATTGTGACATTTGGTATGCTAGTGATCCTTATTTGCTGTGGTTTAGTCATACTGTAGTAAGGTCTAACTGATTTTGGTGGAGGAATTCTAGACCAATCGGAAACGGTTATATCTGTCACATCTGAGAGAGAGACTGTTTTCACAGACACAGTGCTGCCTTCACCTATAGATGGAGTCACCTGAATTGGGAGTAACGATGGTTCTTCCGTGCTTGCACTTTCCTGTAATTTTGAGGTTTGATTATGTGCTAGAGCATGCATAGTTTCCATAGCAGAAGTTGCATTTTGAAGTTCAGAGGTCTGTGCCATACTCAGTTCTACCCCACCTGAGGTAGTCACTACTTCCATTTTAATGGGCGTTGTTCTGAAGGTTTCGGTGGAAGGTCTAGATGTAATCAAAGTAACATTTGGAACATACATAGTTGTTTGAAAGGTAGCAGGAATTGGGACTGATACAATATCTGTGTGGACTTTGGAACTGGCAGAAGAAAATTCAGTAACTTGTGGAGCTTTGGGAGGCCCTATTGTGCCCACAGATGAAAGCAGTAAACTAACAGAGGGGCTAAGTGAATACTTTTCGGTAACAGCCTCCAGAATTGATGTAATATTTGAACTTGAACCCACCGTTAATGCTGGCTGTGTTGCTTGCTCGGTAAATTGAGTACTGAATGTACTTTGTAATGAAGTCAATGTTCTATGATCCACTGGAGTAGTCATCGAACTTGTAGCTACCCAAGATGGCATAATTACATCTGAGACCTCCAAAGGAGTTAAAGATGTAGCATGTATTGTGGAAATATCCACACTTGATGCCAACAAAGAATCCGCTGAAGGCAATGCTGCAAGATATGAATCTGGGCTGCTTGAGGTAACTTTTTCACCAAGTGATACCCCTGGCATCTGTATGTGAGTAGTAATTGGTATCAGACTAGGAGTGGTACCAGTTTGGGGAATTACTGATGAGTGTTCAGAATGAGACGCTGAAACAGAGATCTGAGGAACAGAAGACTGTGTTAACACTGGGAATGAAACCAATGGACTTGTAAAAGATGACATTCCTGGAAACTCTGCAGAAGCAGTAAATGTATCTACACTGTGAACTAAAGATGAAGTTTTTAATTCTGTGTTTGGGACAAGCATATCCATACTGGCTGTTGAAGTTGTTTGTACTATATCGTGTGGCGTCTTTATAGGTGAAAATGAAGTATTACTAGGCAAAGTCCTGGTCCCAACAAATTTCAATGAGCTCAAAGAAGTAGTTGGCACTGGAGATGAATCTGTATGCAGTGCGTGTTTACTTTCTTTAGAAACTATACTTGACAAAAATGGTTTGGAAGCTTGAGGAACACTTGGAAGAGAACCTGCAGAAGGTCCGATATGAAAACTTTTTGAAGCAATGGTAACGTCCCCAGTTGCTTTAGATCTCTGAGATGTAATTGGAGGCCACACTAATGTAGACATTGCATGTGTGACATTCAAACCCAATGAAGATAGTATTGTTGTAGGTCTTTGAGTAGCAATTGAAGGTGATATTCCACTATGTATATCTGAAGTTATAGAAAAATGTTTGGTAGTTAAGGGAACTTTAGTGGTTAGAAGTGTTTTTGATGTTTTAGTTTTTGTTTTTAATTCAGGTTGGATTGTCATTACATATGAAGCTGAGGTGCTATGCATAGACTTTGTAGCTACAGTAGGACTAGAAGTAAAAAAGGGAACTAGAGACATGGTTGTGGGTGATGGAGACAAATAAGACTTACTTTTTGAAATCACAGTAAATGCATGTGTTAGTGGTGATTGTGTAAACAACATGGGGCTTGGAAGAGATTGCTGTTCAGTTAATAAGGATCGAGTTGCAGCGCCAATTGACACTTGCGAAGGACTTGTGGAAAGACTTCTGGTTGTTAAGGTGCTTTTAGGTATTTCAGTAGGGGCAAAACCTTGCTCAACAGTTAATGTAGATAATATGGCAGAAGTGGCTGTGGATCCTAATGGTTTTGTGAATGTGGTTGTTAGAAGAAAGGTTGTCAATGGTGTCATAGCTGTAGTTTCAGAGGGCAATGGCATAACAAAAGTGGGACTTGTACTGTAGGATGTTGTTTTTGCTGTAGCTGTTGAGATTCTTGAACTAGTTGGGAGGGTTGTTGGAGATGAAGATCCAAATAATGCAGATGGTGTACTGAAGCTATCAAATAAAGTTGTACTTGCATGAGATGTTTCTGTTGAATAAAAACCTAGAAGCATTTGTTCTTTAGTCCTTATTTTCTTAGTTGTGGTTTTGGTGGTCAGATTAAATGTTACCCCTCCAGTAACAAATAGTGGAGGCACTTGAGAAAATGTTTCTATTGTGTCTACTAGTTGAGTACTTAGTAAGGTAGGCTTTGTCCCTGATGATTCTGTAGATTTCACAGGTATGCCTGCAAAAAAGAAAAAAGAATTTATAACAACAGTAGCAACAGCACCAGCAACAATTCATATTTATTTATTTATTTATTTTATTTGATGCACTTATTAACCGCCATTCTCAGCCCTTACGGGCGACTCATGGCGGTGTACAGTACACATAAAAGACAAGTGGTTTTTTCCAGTCTGGTGCCCATAGTGGTTTTTTCCAGTCTGGTGCCCATCAGATGTGTTCGCATCAGGAAAGATTCTTCACAATAAAGACAAGGAGGAGAAATAGTAACTATGTGGAAGCTCCACAGCTAGGAAGAAAGTTTCATGACAATTGCCATCATAGCCCCTGTCATGATGAAAATATGTCTAGTAACTGGGTATTCTGCACACAGTTCCTTCTTCCCCAAAGGATGTTTGAGTTAAAACCCAATTTGATCCTTGCCAGACTAGAACTGGTAGCAGAGAAACTATGTTACACTGTTTTGTTCTTATAAAATTATATGTGTACAAACAACAAGATCTGTAAAGAAAGCTGTGTCTACCAATTCACTTCAAAAACAAAAATTGAGGAAATATTTTGAAAATTATGGGACCAATGCATATCAAAAATAATTTTTAAAAGGCTGTTCACAGTGATTCATATAAGTTTGTACTTTTGATGTTTAAATTACTAGAGAAATTATTTGTATCTTTGCTCAGAGGTTCTATTCAGATTGATGGGGTTCAACTTCTAGTGTTGCATAGAATAACTGACTGGACTACTTGTGCTGGAAAGATATCAGTCAATAAAGCGAGGCATGCAATATGCAAAACATTGCACTATGGGGTGCTCATTTTCAGTGTTGTAGACAATCAGTCACACACTTTTGCAGGATACTCCATCCTGCTTTCTTTTTCTCTCCATACCTGTCTTCATCTATGCTAATTCCACTGTCTTGCCTAATTCCCCATGTCTTCATGCCCCATCCTGCCCAACTCCAACTTCCATTTGCTGTAGGCAGCAAGTCTCTGCACTCTCTTTCCAGCCCATGCAAAGTCATGTAGGGAAGTTGGGATACAAATAAGATAAGAACTCCTCTCTTTAGGTTTCTACTCTTCATGCACCATTTATAACCCCTTTCCTGCTTGGTCCAAAGCCAACATTACAGGCATACACCCAGCTGAGTTCACTCATCCATGACTTCTGCACAGAATTGCTCCTGGGAAATAGCAGGATGCATCCACTCCTCTCCCCAAATATTCACTAGGATCCATCCACACTCTTGCCTTTACTAACTAGAAGGAATGTGTAAAACTACAGTGTGCATATGCAAATACAGCACCTTTTATTAAAAGAAGCCAACATATGCCTCTAACATGGAATGATATTGTTGATAGCCAATGTATACAATATTACTGTGGTAATCTAGGAAGTATATATAGGGATACTTACAGTCTTCTGGATAAACACATTTAATTGTGACTTCATCAAGAATCATATCTTTAGGGCAATACGGTAAGCATCCTTCAACGCTGCAAATAAAAAATCCAGAACGGAAATACACAATAATTATTTTTACTGCTTAAAAAATCTGATGTTTCCATGGCTGTAAACAACATAGAATTCTAATTGCAACTGGGATTTACATGAAATGTGACCATCTTTGATACTTACATTTCATTCTTTAAAACCTTTTTACACAACAGTGTATTTCCCAAATATCACATATACTTGAGAAAATGTAAACCAATGTATCTTATGCACACCACTTCACTGCATCTGTGCTGCTACAAGGATGCAGCGGAGCCTTTTATATGGGTTGTTGTAGGTTTTTTGGGCTATGTGGCCATGTTCTAAAAGCATTCTCTCATGATGTTTCACCTGCATCTATGGCAGGCATCCTCAGAGGTTGTGAGATCACAACCTCTGAGGATGCCTGCCATAGATGCAGGTGAAACGTCAGGACAGAATGCTTCTAGAGCATGGCCATATAGCCCAAAAAGCCTACAACAACCCAGTGATTCCAGCCATGGGAACCTTCAACAAGCCTTTTATATGTTTGAGCCTATGTTTTCTACAGTCGTTTCCCACCAGCCATTATGTGTGGCGCTTATAGGAACTGAAGCCAAAGTATCCCTACCCTAGCTCTACACAATGGAAGCCTATTTCCATTACAGGAATTATAAACTATGTTGTATAAACTATAAATTATAGTTTATATTTTAAATTGTAAACTATGTTTATAATAAAAATGCCATTAGGTATTTCCATAATATTAATGGAAATAATAATAATAATAATAATAATAATAATAATAAAGCTTTATTTGCATCCTTCCACCATCTCCCCGAAGGGACTCAGGACAGCTCACTCAATAGTGCAGAACACACAATAGTGTGGAACACACAAAATACAATAAGTACACGTAAATTAAGAGCTTACTACATTAGTATACAAAACAACAAATTCTACTCACGGTGGAAGAAATGTACATGCTATTCCTTCAGGATCACTGCAGGTTTTAACACAAGGACTTGTGCAAGGCTCATATCTCCATTCACACATCCTCCTATAAGGCACTGCTGCACGCAGTTCTATGAAACATCAAAAACATATTTTTAAAATGATGCTGTTAATGCCACACATATCATGTTGAGATTGTCACAACTGGCAGTAAATTCATCTCACTGTTAAGGAATAGTCCACATTTCCAATCCTTTGTGTTATATTTGGTCACGTGACTGTAGCTGATGCATTTTCCCCCATCATGCATGCAGATATACATATTTTCTATTAAGTGTGGGTGAATTAATACTGATATCCTGACTTATTGATATGCACATGCACCTTCTTATTTTTTTTTAATTATATCTGGGAAAGAATCGTTTCCTGGAAGAAATTATCATTTCCTATCAACCAGTTCTTCCCATTACTAACTCCTTCCCACACTCACACAATCAAGCAATGCAACCTGAAGCAATGCCACATGTCAAAAAATCCAGATTCTCCATAACACTGTGAAATAAAAAAGAAGGGTTTTTGAACCAGATTAAAATTTGCATTTCAAGCAAATCCTCAAGAACTTTGTGTGTCAGAATTGCATTGGCTATGAGCAAAAGTGAGCACACATTTTTCTATGGTGTAGAGAAGCCTCAGTCACAACGACATGCAAATAGAGGTGAAGAATGAAACTCTTCATCTCAGATATTACACTATGGAGGTCCTTTTGAGATCTTGAAGGAAAACTCACCCTCTATACTGAAGCTGCTGGAGCGTTTGAATTCTTCGGAATTGTCATACTTTGCCACTTTCACGGCAGAGATGGTGAGTATAATGAAGAAACCTTTCTTGCGATGTAGTTCGAACGCACTGTAACCTGGGATCCAAAGACCTTGGTGATGGAAGAAAGTTGCTCTTCTACGAAATGCTGAGCTTGCAACCCACTGTTCTAAGGAAACACTTCTGTCATCGTGAACAAATAGGAAATAGTTTGGTCTTTCAGCAGATTCAAGTGAAACCAGAGATGGAGCTGCAACAAATTAAATCCATAGCAATAAATGGTAAGCATCCACTACCCAAACCTAAGTGTTGAATATGATACACTTCAACTAAAAATCTATTTATTGCTAAACCAATCCTTGTAAAATTATATTAAAAATATGCTAGCAATATTTAAAAGTGTTCAATTCCATCAAAATTATTCTTGTAGTGTACAAATGATCATTTTAAATACTGGGGAAAGTTCCTAACACCTGAGTTTATAATTAAGCATTTTAAATAAATGGGAAGATTAGAAAGAATGGGAAAGTTCTGAGGTTTGGGGTGTCGTTTTGCCCTCATATAGACTTTCTGAAGCTTAACCTCTCTCCAATTTCCCCAAAATGTCAATGGAAACAAAAAAAACCCCTAAAATCTTAACACAATTCTAAATGGGATGAGAGATCATGGGAGAGACACAAGGCAGATCCTGTCTAGAATGTCTGTCTTGCTTATTTGCATCAGGTACAGACAGAAGATATAGCTGGAGCTCAAGACTTTGTAAATTTGTAAATAAAAAAAAAACCAATCTCCCCACCCTTTTAACTGTAAATAAAAATCTCCTCTTTTATAGTATTTCCAGATTTATTCAAATTTTGAAAACTATTTTATAAAAACATTCTCTGGTATAGAAAAGCTAGTATTTTTCTTCCTAAATCTTAAAACAGTTTTGATCATACTAAATACTAAATTCTGAAGATAAAACTTACATAGTATCTTGTCTTTCACAAGACCAGGAGTTAACATAAAATTAAAATAGACACTTCCACTGATGCTGATTCTAGGCAAAGGAAAGATCTTTTTGCTGGTGATATTGACTCCTATCACAGTGTCATTCTGACCATAGCTGGCCAAAATATATGGTCCTTCTCCAAGCCCTGGAAGTAGAAATACAGTCAAATGTTAAATAAATAAAAATAAGAAAAGCAAACTAGAAAATCATTTACCACGGTGCAGCCTTTTAGTGAACTGAGGTGTAGCTTTCTAACTCTGGAAGAATAAATCAAATGGAAGATCTACAGAAGTATTAACTATGACTAGATCATGACCAAGGCCCTTCGCTAATATTACATATTAAATGACAAGCACATCCTATTAAGAAGTAATTGCCTTAATTCTATCTTTCTCCTTGTAGGATTATCCTATTACATTGCTTGCAAATACATTAACTCTGCCCAAAAAATCCTCAATTTTAGTTTCTGTTCTAAATGGAAAGAACAATTTACCATTTTTTTTCTTTTATAGAAAAGTTGTACTATTTTCCATTTTAATTAAATGAAATGAGAGGAAATTAGTCATTAAAGCCTTCTTCCTTCACACATGTAAACAGGGTTGGGAAGAGAAACATTGCAAAAGGTATGGTATCCAAGAGACAATTGATCTCTGTTCATTTACTCAAAGCACAAAAATTGAATAATCAGAATTTTGGCTGTCTGTATAGGATGGGACTGTGTCTGCCTTTTGTTACAAAAATCACCACGAACATGAAAGTACCACAGATAGAGTGCAATAACAATTCCTCTACTTTTGCAATTTGACTTTTCTGGATTTCATTATTCACAGATTTGATTTAAATGATCTTTCTAGGAATCTTGAACTCCTCCATGTGACTATGGCCATGCTGGATAACTAAGAAACTTCTAGAGAGAATACCTCTCTAGGAATCTTTAGATTGTCAAATGCAATGCTATGTCCATTTTCCAGCAGAAGTCAACCATAGAGTCATGTTGAAAGACCTAAAAATTCCCAGAGATGTGTTCTTTCAGGAAAAAATAGAAATGTGATGGGTTGTTGTTTTTTTAAAAAAAAAACTTTCATAAGGGTCCTATGCCCCTAGCACAGAGAATGTGGAGGGTTGACTGTAGAATGGGTTGTTGTAGGTTTTTTCGGGCTATATGGCCATGGTCTAGAGGCATGGTCTAGACCATGGCCATATAGCCCGAAAAAACCTACAACAACCCAGTGATTCCGGCCATGAAAGCCTTCGACAATACATTGACTGTAGAATGTCCTAGGCTGGCAATAATAGTATCTCCTTATTTGTTTGTTATTTAATATGACTATACTATCCAACACGACAATAGACTACGCTGGAAGCTACAAAGGAAGTTCTGTGAGATAGCATAATATTCATCTGTAGGGGTTTTTGCCTCTTCATTCCACTTTGGGCCACAAGGAGAGGCGGGTAATACAATTATTATTATTATTATTATTATTATTATTATTATTATTATATCCTGTCACTGCAGTCCCCTTTACACACACATCAAAACACATATACAAACACTACCTGTGTTTCCTTGATGGTTTCTTCCAGTTTCAGCAGCAGTGAATGAAACCCGATTCTCTATTATGCTACATATTGAATGCTAGTTTCCTAGTTGCCACTTGTCCATATTTGGTCCATTTCTGCCTCATAACTGAGATTTTATCAGCCCACTTCAAATACTTCCATGCTACTATTAGACTAACAACACCACTTAACATTTTCCTTGCACCCTATCTTAGCCTACAAAGCCCTAAACAGTTCTGGCCCAGGCTACCTGTCTGAATATATCATCCCTTATGAACCAGCACATAGATTAAGATCTTCTGGGGAGGCCCTGCTCTCGGTCAGCCTGCCTCACAAGAGCGGCTGGTGGGGACGAGAGACAGAGCCTTCTCAGTGGTGGCCCCTCAGTTGTGGTACTCCCTCCCTAGTAATATCAGAGCAGCTCCCTCCCTATTAGCCTTTAGGGAAAGAATCAAAACCTGGCTCTGTGAGCAGGCCTTAGGAAACTAAGGCAATGCAGTATTTTTGAATCAAAAATTTGTGCAATTGACCTTGGAACGGACTCAGACCATGAACATGGATAGCGTGTTTTCTACATTTTTAACTTTTTAAATCTGATTTAACTCTGTTTAATATGTTGCAATTTTTGAAATGTTTAGGTGATTATGTTGAGACACGACGTTGTGCCATTGTAAGTCGCCTTGAGTCCCCCTGTCGGGGTAGAGAAAGGCAGGTACAAATATGGCAAACAAACAAACAAACAGTTTCTGGACACAACTGTATCACAAAAAATAATAGAAAGCAGAGCATTGGGTGATAGATTTTCTTAATGTTGCTTTCTATACAAAATAATTACAATGTTGTTGTTAAATATCAAATGGTGTTACCATCATGTAAATAAGAGTATTTTAAAACATGTGTTAAGGAATTGCTAAATGCACATCTACTTCTTGAATAAGAAGGATCATTGCTTGGGAGACTTTGTATTTTATTCATCCATAAAATTACTACATACCTTGGTTGTAATAATCACAGTCATAAGCTAAAAGAAAAAAAAAGGTACACTGTTAGAAGCTTTCAGGGCAAAACCTAACTGGAGAATTCATTACGAGAAATAGCTCAAAAGCAATTCCATAGGAAGTAAACCCTAGTTTACAAAAACACACAACTTCCCACATCTTTTAATCGAAAGCCTCATTTTCTGGAAGTCCTTAGTAGTTAAAGAATTCAGTGATTTGAATTTTTATTGCCAGCTTACATCTTTAAGATGGGCTTTTACCCACACTGTAAATAAAATAGAAAAAAAGCTTTTCCATTTTATAGGTAAAAAGGAGTGAATTGCCTATTCTCTGTGGTTCAGCTTTCAATAGAGTGCACATACTCCTGCACTATTTAACATGAATAAATATCTATTTAAACAGCAGAAAGAGACTTCCATTAACTTCCAGCGACTGACTAGCAGTGGGAAAATCTCAGAGATTTCCACGGTCAGAAATTTGGCATTCTAACTTACTGCAATTGTCCACCCCAGCTATAGTTTGAGATATCATATACCAATGCTTATCAGCATTAGCACTTTCAATCTCTGCAATTTAAGCAAAGTGCTGAATAATCAACTTTCTCTATACTGATGATGTTAATGGACATGAATACCATACTTACGACAGAGAGAAGGCGATCTCCAGTGAATCGCTGCACCCTCCTGGCAGCATTTATGTGCATACGCTGCAATACTTGTACACAGACATTCACAGTCTGCACCAAGATTACAATTACATGTGTCAGTATGGCAGTTTTTGACAAATGATGTCACATCAATCTGAAAAATATGAAGTAGAGTAAACTTTTATGAAAAGTGAGAGGACTAGATGAAACAAAATTGAAGTACATAGTGTCAAAATCCTTCAGGAAACTTGGACAATTATTTAAACTTATAGGCCGAGAACCCCTTATGTGAAATTCTGAAATCCAGAATACTCCAAAATTCAAAATCATCTACATTGGTGGCTGAGATAGTAACACCTTTGCTTTCTGATGGTTCCGTGTATTCAAACTTGTTTCATGCACAAAATTGTTTCAAGTATTATGTATAAAACTATCAACGGAAGAAATATGTATGGTGGTTATATGAAACATGAATGAATTTTGTGTTTCCATCTCCAAGATATGACATTATATATAATATATAATAACCTGTTTGAACTTATTGAATTTAGATGCCAAAAACTAATCTGAGCAAATCCATGTTTGCTTCCCTGTAAAATATTGAAGATGATTCACCCTGGTTAAACAGAAATATCAGGAAAGCCACAAACCCATAAAAAGCAAGAATGATTCTTTGTAACAATAAAAGCCAATGGAAAAGGAGAAAGTAAAAAAAAGAAAGAAAATATACCATAAAGTGGTAAAGCTAAACAAGTTGAAGACAAGGCATGTGAGGAAAGATGTTGAGGGGGAAATTACTAAAACTGCAAGACACCAGGAACAAGAAACCAATACTTATTGGATTAAAACATTGAACAAATACCCACATCTGTTTCCAGGAGAGGATGTGACTATCAGGATTATTAAGCTCTCATTGTGCTGCAATGCCTTGGAGTTGCAGTTGCATCAAAAGTGTATGTGTATGATTCCTGTGCATATATGCAACTGTTCTTCAATTGACCTATGTATTTTAAATGCATAGAGCTGACCTTTTTGACTCCTTCCTTGAGAATTCACAATGATAAACACTTCAGCAAAGCTGAACAATGATCACTTTCTTGTATTGGAAAGCAAATACTGCCACCTGCTGAAATAACTAGTTCAACTATCAAATTCAGTCAAAAGTAATCTTAGCAGTAAAATCTACAAACTAGCATGATGACTGAGGATTTCTGTTAATCATGAACCAAAAAAAAAATGAGGTTTCCAACTTCTGCTGGGTAGACAGATTGCACATATTCTAACTATTTACACTACTACAGATATTTGGGTAGGTCAGAAACTGGCCTTGAAACAATGTCTTCGTGTGTTTTGTCCTGGATAGTAAATTCTACCAAAAAGTGCTACAATATAGTATTAGGTAAGCCATAGTGAAAAAGCATACAATGTGGTACAACAATCTACATATGATGCTCCATATGCATCCAGTTAAGTAGATTTTTTTATCACAGAAAGCAGAAAGAGCATGTGGACAAATGGCTCCTTTGATAAGCACCAAGATGAGCAATAGCTCATATCTAAGGTGAGCATTCAAACATTTGATGATGGCTGGCTCTTCTTAGATGGTTTATGCATTATTAACTTACCACATTACGACAGGGGGCAAAAACATCACTGTACAATACTGAGCATTCCTTTTTGGCATAAGGAAACTTGCTCTGATGGACTTCACATGGTTTTATGGTTTCATTGGGACTTGCACACTGATTGATATAAAAGCAAACAGAACAATTATCAATAAGTGTTATGATTTTCTCTTCATGGCATATGTTTCTGAAAATACACACACACCACATAAAGCCGTAAGATGCAATATGTTTGCTTTATTATGTTCAAAGTCTGTCTCATACCTTCAATGCCTACCATGTTGGAAGCCACCCTGAGTCCCCTCGGGGAGATAGAGCAATATACAAATAAAGATTGTTATTATTATTATTTGAAACACAACAAGATGAGTCCAGAGCCGACAAGATCACTCTGCTGGCTGTTGAATTGGATCACATGTCGGACACTTCCCAAGTGTCTAGGACTGTGTGATGTATCAGCGAATAATGCATGCAGATCCCAGTAAGGTGGCCTTCTGCAGCTAGCAGATGGTAATTTTGTCAGCGCCGATTGCGTTTAAGTTCAGGTCAAGGTCTTTAGGCACTGCATCCAGTGTACCAATCACCACTGGGCCCAACTTGACTGGCTTGTGCCAGAGTCTTTGCAGTTCAATCTTTAAATCCTCATGTCAGTTTTTCCAGTTGTTTCTTGTCAATCTTGCTGTCACCTGGGATTGCAACATTGACGATGCATACTTTGTTTTTTTTAACATGATTGTGAGGTCAGGAGTATTGTGCTCCAAAACTCTGTCAGTCTGAATTCGGAAGTCCCAGAGTAGTTTGATGTGTTCATTTTCTGTAACTTTTTCATACTTGTGATCCCACCAGTCGTTTGTCGCAGGCAGATGGTATTTGTGACACAGGTTCCAATTAATCATCTGAGCAATTGTGTTATGCCTCTGCTTGTAGTCTGTCTGTGTGATCTTCTTGCAGCAGCTGAAGATATAATCTATTGTTTCATCTACTTCCTTGCAGAATCTGCATTTGGGATCTGTTGCTGACTTTTCAGTTCTGGCTTTGATCGCATTTGTTTGTAACTCAGGGATAGCCTGCAATCCATTGTATAAATAAATTTAAACTCTCTGCTGATTCCTGTTAGCTGTGTATATATGAAAATAGACATGTGGTAATCTAGTTATACTATTTGTTGGATGTTAAGGAAGTGAAAACTTCCATGCGTTAATTAAAACAAAGATTAAACATTACTTTCTGATGTATTTGTATCCCCTGTACTTCCTTCTTGCTTGCTTCACATTGTAGCTGCCAGATTCATAGAAGCTGGTGACCTCTGCATCATTGGAATGAGGAATGTACTTCACGCTTTACTCCAAACCTTAAAGGAATTTTTTAAAGATTCTGAGCTCTATATCCAAAATAGGTTGAGTACCATTTTTATTAGACCAGAACTTGGTCTGGATTCAGTGATGTACCAACATGGGAGACATCACCCTCCACTGTTCATTCATTCTGGCTAACTACTTAGGAAGCTAATGTTCATCACTACAGTAAGGCTGAGCAACTTTAGAAGGTACTGGGTCAGTTTAGCACATCTGGATACAGGTTATCTCACCCCACCCACCCACCTGTACCTCCAACAAGTGGTACAGAGTCAAGTACAGGTGGAAGAACCAATGAACTAGCAATGAACCACCTCAGAGATTAAGATCTTCTGGGGAGGCCCTGCTCTTGGTCCCATCTCCTTCACAGGTGTGGTTGGTGGGAATGAGAGACAGGCCTTCTCAGTGGTGGCCCCTTGGCTGTGACTCCCAAGTGAAATCAGATCAGTCCCCACCCTCCTGACCTTCAGAAAGAAATTAAAAATGTGAATGTGGTACCAAGCTTTCAGACAGTAATTTTTCAGTGCAATAAGTGAACACAAAATAGTACTATGAATGGTAGGGGTTAGAAAGTAATTGAGAAAAAATGTAAGAGAAACAAATATCTTTACTATCTAATTTATGAGCTTTAATAATTTAAATGTTTTTGTTTTCTTAATACCAATGCTTGTGCTTTAAAACTGGAATGAATAATTAGTCTGCTCCTATACTTACCCGTCCTATTGCCCAGCTCTCTCCAAAAAGCTGAGCATTTTTTATTTCCATGTTGTTGGATGTAGTCAGATCATTTGAGGTGTATTTGTCGAAATTTCCACACAAGCCTGCCAATTTACCCTGAAATTTATAACAGAATTGTTTTCTGCTTGATTCATTCATTCATTGCATTGTTCAGTTTTAAATAATCAAAGCAGGTATCAGACTGATGCATTGTATAGACTTTTTAAGAAAATAAAATTCAGCAGTAAATCTGCAGGGTGGACAAACTGCTATATTTCCTATTGGTTTATGAACATACTTGCTATTAAAAAAACTTCTGGAAGATTAAAATTAGATTACTGTAATGCAATAATAGTCTTTGGAGACCATATAGATAAGGTGTAATAAAGAAATCAGATTATTGTCAGATATGTGCTTTTGGGATCACATATCACCAGTCATGCACCAACTACACTGGCTCCAATCTCTTTAGAAGCTCAACTCAAGATACTGATATGGACATCTTATTTTATTTTTAGGACTCCTTCCTAGGGAGGAAAGTATTACTAATGTTTTTAGAATTATTTGCTTAAAATATACTGTTAACAGAAATGTAATTCATAAAATATACTGTTAACATAAATGGCCATGGTTGACATAAAATGTTGGAAGTGGGTTTTCCTACAGTAAGACAGCAATAATTCTTTTCCTACTGGGAATCTGGTTTCTCCTTTCCCTGTAGGATGGTTTATATGTACACCTATGACAGTACATAAGAAAAGAATATGGGGTCACATCAGGGCAGAGGAGATGTCCTAATTGGAATTGAGCTCTCCTGTCCACCATTTTGCAATGAGAAAGCACAGCCCACACATAAAATCATAGAATCAAAGAGTTGGAAGAGACCTCATGGGCCATCCAGTCCAACCCCCTGCCAAGAAGCAGGAAAATTGCATTCAAATCACACATTTTCTTCGAGTCTCATGCTATTCTCTGTTCAGACAAATTTTCAAGCTATATACCTTAATATAGAGAAGATTCCTAAGGAACTCACTTCTGCACAATGTTCTGAAAATGTTGACTATATTTACTATAAATAGTTTGCAGACACAAAAAATACCATTTAAAACTATTTAAAACAAGGTATGGTCTGTGAAACACATTTCCTTCTACAAATATTCCATTTCTGTAAAATACAAGGTGCTCAATTTCATATAGATTTACCTTCCATTTAGCTCCCACTTTGATATGAATTGTTGTCTTCCTGTCCCATAGAACTGTGATCTCCTCCTCTGGGAAGTGTACTGCAGTATAAAACCCAGCCTTCCAGATCTGATATTTGGATTTGTTTTCATGCTTCCCTAATGTCCTCTGTGAAGAAATTGATATGATCTTTGTAATACGCAATAGATAACTAAACTTATATGTGCACTCAACTAACGCTAAAGCAGGAACTGAATGATTGATTAAAATGATGCCTATTATTATTATTATTCAAAATTGAAGACCTTTTTTAACAATTGCAATATCTATCAACATTGTTCTTAGAAACAAGTTGTCTCTTTTAAACAACCACATTCGTTATGTCCTCCATATAGTTAGTTTGCCACATCACTTTATTTTCAACATACCTGTGAATCAAAACATTGTACATACAAAAGGTAATATAGAATTTGGAGGTCTTCTCATGACAGTAGTCGGGGGGGGGGGGGTTAAGGGTTCAACCCCCTCCCAGAAATGTATCAGATTAAAAAAAAACCCACAATGCAGATAAATAAGTGACCAGTTACAGACATCCAGTTACAGACATCCATTGCTTTCACTTCTGTGAAAGCAAATGATCCATCATAATCCCATATTACAAGGATAGAACCTAAATTTCTAGGGATACAACATAGATGTATCACATTAATTTCAGGATATGCATAAAAGTTCTTGACTATACCGTAAGCAGCCATCTCATCTGTAGGCCTATGGAAGATTCATTGAAAACTAAAATTGTATAGATGTGGTCAGAGACTACAACATGAAAGCATAACTAAATGAAGTGTTGCAACAAAATGACAAGATTCAAAGGAAAAGTGAAAACTACACCATCAAAGTGTATAGCTTTTTTAATTTTCAAGAAAAAAAAGAGGGTCAGGCTTGGCTTTGTTATGAGTTTCATAAGAGAAGCCACATTTTCCTGCCACCAAAATATTAAAGTCATTCTAAACAAAATATTGAAAATTATTCAGTTTGAGATTTGGGAAGGGCAACCAATATGTTTCTCCTGACTTTATTAAGTATCTACTAACATTATTAACCATTGTGTTTTTTGGGGAAAATAAAATGGTTAGAAATTAATGGCAATGGACTCAAATTATTAGCTCTTGAGAAGTTTGGTCGTATGTTAATTATACAAATGTTTATTGAGGAAAAAGCAGGGGAAAGGATTTCTATCTGTCTTATGTTTAATTGTTTTAAATTTATTTTAAGTTCATAGTTATATGTAGTAATTAGTTATTATGATTTCTTTGTGTACTGTATGTTGGCATTGAATTTTTGCTATTAGTATGTCCGAGACATTGTTCAAGAGGCAGCAACAAAGTACGTCCCAAAGAAAAAGAAAACCAAGAAGGCAAAATGGTTGTCTGCTGAGACACTGGAAGTAGCCCAAGAAAGGAGGAAAGCAAAAGGAAACAGTGAATAAGGGGAGATATGCCCAGTTAAATGCGCAATTCCAGAGGTTAGCCAGAAGAGATAAGGAACTATTTTTAAATAAGCAATGCATGGAAGTGGAAGAAGACAACATAATAGGAAGGACAAGAGACCTCTTCCAGAAAATTAGAAACATTGGAGGTAAATTTCAGGCAAAAATTGGTATGATAAGAAACAAAGATGGCAGGGACCTAACAGAAGCTGAAGAGATCAAGAGAAGGTGGCGAGACTATACAGAAGATCTGTATAGGAAGGATAATAATATTGAGGATAGTTTTGACGGTGTGGTGAATGAATTAGAACCAGACATTCTGAGGAGTGAGGTTGAATGGGCCTTAAGAAGCATTGCTAACAACAAGGCAGCAGGAGACGACGGGATCCCAGCTGAACTGTTTAAAATCTTAAAAGATGATGCTGTCAAGGTGATGCATGCCATATGCCAGCAAATATGGAAAACACAAGAATGGCCATCAGACTGGAAAAAATCAACTTATATCCCCATACCAAAAAAGGGAAATGCGAAAGACTGCTCCAACTTCCGTACAGTGGCCCTTATTTCTCATTCCAGTAAGGTAATGCTCAAGATCCTGCAAGGAAGACTCCAGCAATACATGGAGCGAGAGTTGCCAGATGTTCAAGCTGGGTTTAGAAAAGGCAGAGGAACGAGAGACCAGATTGCCAATATCCGCTGGATAATGGAGAAAGGCAGGGAGATTCAGAAAAACATCTACTTCTGCTTCATTGACTATTCTAAAGCCTTTGACTGTGTGGATCATAATAAATTGTGGCAAGTTCTTGGTGGGATGGGCATACCAAGCCACCTTGTCTCTCTCCTGAGGAATCTGTACAAGGACCAAGTAGCAACAGTAAGAACTGACCACGGAACAACAGACTGGTTCAAGATTGGGAAAGGCGTACGGCAAGGCTGCATCCTCTCACCCAACCTTTTTAACTTGTATGCAGAACACATCATGCGATGTGCGGGGCTGGATGAATGCAAAGCTGAGGTGAAAATTGCTGGAAGAAACATTAACAACCTCAGATATGCAGATGACACCACTCTGATGGCCGAAAGCGAGGAGGAGCTGAGGAGCCTTCTAATCAAGGTGAAAGAAGAAAGCGCAAAAGCTGGGTTGCAGCTAAACGTCAAAAAAACCAAGATTATGGCAACAAGAATGATTGACAACTGGAAAATAGAGGGAGAAAATGTGGAGGCCGTGACAGACTTTGTATTTCTAGGTGCAAAGATTACTGCAGATGCAGACTGTGGCCAGAAAATCAGAAGACGCTTACTTCTTGGGAGGAGAGCAATGTCCAGTCTCGATAAAATAGTAAAGAGTAGAGACATCAGACTGGCAACAAAGATCCGCCTAGTCAAAGCCATGGTATTCCCTGTAGTAACCTACGGATGTGAGAGCTGGACCTTAGGGAAGGCTGAGCGAAGGAAGATCGTTGCTTTTGAGCTGTGGTGTTGGAGGAAAGTGCTGAGAGTGCCTTGGACTGCGAGAAGATCCAACCAGTCCATCCTCCAGGAAATAAAGCCCGACTGCTCACTGGAGGGAAGGATACTAGAGACAAAGTTGAAGTACTTTGGCCACATCATGAGGAGACAGGAAAGCTTAGAGAAGACAATTATGCTGGGGAAAGTGGAAGGAAAAAGGAGAGGGGCCGACCAAGGGCAAGATGGATGGATGGCATCCTTGAAGTGACTGGACTGACTGAAGGAGCTGGGGGTGGTGACAGCCAACAGGGAGCTCTGGCGTGGACTGGTCCATGAGGTCACGAAGAGTCGGAGACGACTGAACGAATGAACAACAACATGTTGTAAATGGCCTTGAGTCCCCCCAGGAGTGAAAAAGGCAATATAGAAATACAGTAAATAAATACATAAATAATAAAGGAAAATAGAATTTTTGTTAAGAGAATTTGGAGATCTTCTCATGACAGTAGTCGGGGGGGGGGGGAGTTAAGGGTTCAATCCCCTCCCAGAAATCTGTCAGATTAAAAAAAAAACCTGGTTTACTTATGAATTTTAACTGGTTAACCAGGATCGAACCTTTAAACCCTCCTGGCTATGGCCATGGAACTTCTACAAGATTGTCTCCTCCACATACATTAATACTATAATATTTATTGTCCAAAGACAGTAGTTGTCCTATATTGGGAATGAAGAATATATGGAGGCTCCATGTTGGAGAAGTGACATCTTCATGGTATTTCAAATACTGATTAGTACTGTGGTTCAGTGAACAAAGAAAGGAAAAACAGTACATACCTGTAAGCTTAGGGGTTCACTGAAAAAAATCTCAGCATCTCCAACAGAAATAAAAACATTTTTTGAACAGACAATGTCATTGTCAAAGCACTTCTTGTTTTGAACAATTATAGACAAGTTTGAACTGTTGACACCCTGCAGAGAAGAAAAGCTTATTATGAACAAACATCATTATACAGCACTGCAACAATCTGTCAATGAGTATATCCTACTTCCTTAAGTGGACTCCAACTACCTTGGACTGTTTCATGGGTCAGGACAAGTTAATGCTGTCTTAAGTCAAGTTATGTCAGAGTGACCTAGATTTCAACCCAGATGAGCCAGAGTGCAGTCAGTGGAACAGATGTTATCAATTGGATTCCACTACAGATATATATGGTCCACTGCAAATGAGATCTGAGAAATTCAATTATTTAGGATGAGTATAAAAATTCTGTTCTTCACTTGAAGGTGGAAGTTATCACCTATGGTTCTGAATTAAAGGATGAATATATAAAGCTCGTACACTGCCAATTGATCCACCCTACCTTCTATATTTACTTAAGCTGGCAGATATGTCACCAAAGATGTTTTAACAGGGGATGCTGGACCAGGAACCTACAGACATCTTTACTCTAAGCATATGTTCTGCAAGCCACCTGAGCTGGTTGCTGGTTGTGTCAGGGGAGCAATGACAAGAAGAAAAAAAGTTACATCACCAAAAAAGTAATCTCTCTCCTATACTCTACTAAAAAGGAAAATACAGTGTTTACATCATAACTTCCTGGAACACAGCTACATTTACCTTTTAAGGCAAAATGCTGGGAAAGAAGTACCACTGCTTCTCATGTGAAGCCAACTTAAACTGAGAGAAAACAAACACAAAATGCGCCCCCTCCACCCACCAATCCTGTAACCTTCATTCCTGTCTTTCCATGAACTTACAAAAAACGAGACTGTTCTAACTTAGTAATAGTTTTCTTTGTGATAATTTGCAGTTGCTAAGCAATAAAGAAACAAGGGGAGAAATCTAGGCAAGTGACCAAAACTCAGCAAAGGTCTTGCAGTTTCCGATAAAGTTTATCATAACTGAGTAAAATGATGACTTATGCTCCCTTTGGGGGGAAATTCAAAACAGAAGCTTGTATTTCTAACTAAAATATGATTGGCAAACTAAAGAAGATTGGTTTTTCCATATCAGCAAAGTAGAAATACATGAGCATTTCCAAATCCAATACTCTCCAGAAGTTTTACTACCAATTAAAATGTAATGGACAAGCTAAAGTAGATTGGTTCAAATGATTTTGATATTTACATTCAAAATCGTAGAAAAGTAAAAAATACTAAAGGAGCATTGAACTCCCATATTCCCATCATAATGCTGGCTGGGTATTATGGAAATTGTAGCTTAACCTATGAAACATATGAGGTTGAAGTAAACAACCTTCTAAAATCCCTCTAATGTGTTTTTAAAATGCTAATTTGACCTTAAAATATACTCTCTCAGCCTTAATTGAAGGCAACAGCAAAACTCCTCTGAATAAATCTTGCCAAGGAAACCCTCTGATAGAACCACTATAGATTGGAATTGACTAGAAGACACATGACAATAACAATATGGGAGCTGCTAGTTCAGGATGAATAAACTTAACTGGATTGAGAAAAAAAGGCATTAGACCACCTAACTAACAGTGGCAAAGAACTACTTACATAAATATAAATTATGCAAACAGGCTGAACAGGTGTGTATTTCCTTTGTTTTCTTTATAAAAGGTTCCGGAGTATGTTCATCCAAAGAACTGGGCATTCATCAGTGACTCCTGACAAAGTTATAGTACAAAGATTGGGTGTGTGCTCATGTTATCAAAACAGAGAGCTAATTAGACAGGTGAATACTGCCTTTCCGAATGGTCTTTGATTTCAATAATAAAAGGTGCAGTGAGTTAATATATTTAGTTTTATATACATCACAGTTAACAGTCGTCTTTTGTATAATTTATTTGGTTTTCCTCTACTTAGTATCAGATTTGGTATTTTATTGTATTACATTACAGCAATTCTTTCCTAATTAAAAACACGATAGTTCCAAGATTAAGGCTGAGGAATGCGCAGGTATCCTTTTCCAAGTGATATTATCCCTAGCAATGCGCTGCAGTACGTATCTGTCTTGTCCAACAGGTAAAAACCACTAGAAATCCGTGAAAACAATTATAAAGTGATTAATGCTTTTTCTTTCACAAATGTTTTCTTTTGTCCCCATGTAAAACAAAATAAGGAATACAGATGAGAACATAAATTGACACTGTCTAAAATATACTTTTTATTGAAATTTAAATCTGTATTTTATATGTCTTTGAAACAAGTTCCTTTCTTGAAAGCTGAAAGAAAGAGCTCAAATTACTAAATGAACATGTAGAAGAATGTTTCTCTAAAAGCAATGGAAATTCTTTCATAAAGTGCAATCCATGTCTACTAAAAATGAAGCCCCTAAAAGATTAAGTGGATCTGATTTGAAGGTAAATGTGTCCAAGCTTGCAACTTTGATTAAGTGATTAAATTAAAATTAAATTCAGACTCCAAAAGAGTTTTGTCCCTTGACATAATCAAAATAGCTATACAAAAGCCATTTCTCTCAATGGCGGTAGTGTTACAGTGAAATTGACAAAGATAATCCCATATATACACATAGCATTTAACTCATAGGAATGATGTTAAGGCTTGTATTGCATTACATTGAGTGTGGCCAGAGATAAAACTAATACATGCTGAAACTACCACATAGTTAAAGTAATGCCAAGTCCATCAGAAACTGAATAGATTCACACTGTTGTGGAGGTGAAACCAAATCCAGTATCTAAGACTACTGAAAAATTTAAGACTGAAAAGGTTCAGGCACTTGAATATGAACCCTGAGGATATCCCAGGCTCAAGAGGTAATACACACTGTAATCTTAGCCAAGTTTCCAATAAAGCAGCATCAAGGAAGCCTTCTCCACATGCTAAAGAACAGAAAGTTAGCTCATTTTATGGACTCCTGTACAAAGCAAGAAACTGTTGCACCTATGAACCACTATCTTTAGTAGCATTATCCTCATGTACATCTGTGAGGAAGCAGCACGAGCAGAGTAGATCTGAATGCTGCATCTTTACTGGAGCAATATTTATGCAAAAACTCCAAAAAGAAAGAAGGTGAATGTAATGAGAGGGCAAAGAATGGAACTGCTGGGAGAAAAGTGAAATGTTATGCTTTCTCTCCAGTGCAGTACAATATAATGATATCAACCATTTGCAGAGAATAGCTTGATCCCCTTTAATAAAGACCACTGTGCACACTTGCGGCATCATCTGCCATTGAAGCAACAATTTTCTCTTTTCAAATAAACACACCTAATAATTTTTTTTAAAATAAGACAGATGCAAAAAATAAAAAAATTAACATTTGTGGGTGGATACAAAAGTTAAAATACAGTTAAAATGCAAAAATACCTTTAAAATTGCATTCAAAACCCACCATCCCCCAAAAAATTCCACCACAACCTCCCTAGCAGCATGTCTCCCAATTTCCCCCAAGTGCTTGATGGCAAAGAAATGTTTTAACCTGCTTGCAAAAGGCCAACAGGGATGGGGCAATCCTGATCTCTCTTGAGAGAGAGTTCCACAGTCTGGGAGCAGCCACCAGAAAGGCCCTCTCCTGTATGTCCCACCAAACATGCTTAAGTGGGCAGTAGAACAGAGATAAGCCCCTCCCCATATGATCATAGATATCTCACAGATTTGTAGAGAGAGATACAGCGCTTCAAATAACCTGGATCTATTCTTGAATAAACAAAATACATATATCAACCTTCTGCAAAAAAAGGAATTCCTTTTTACAAAATCTGTTATCATGTTGGAATAGGCTGATCCCTTTCATGGAAATTACTGTGTGTCTGTAGCATGACCTGCCAAAGAACTCTCTCTTTCTCCAGCCATTTTTGGGGACAGCTGGAAAATTTAAAAGTAAACTTGGAGAGATACTCACAATTATATAATGTTTTGAAGGGGCCTAGTAAATAAAGGTAAATGAGACTGAAATTGCTGATTTGGAGTAGATTCAGCCAGAAAAATGCAAAACCATTGCCAATTGTAATGAGATCTTTTGCCTATTGCAGAAAGGTGGAACAAGTGAAAAAAAAAAGGAAAAGAAAGGGCCATGTTAGACATATACTGAATAATTTTCTGCAGCTGTTACAGGTTAGCCTGTTGTAACTGAAAACAACTAAGAGGCAGATACCTTGCATCAAGTCACATAATTGGCCAGCAGTTGAATACCAGCTAGCATAGAAATAGGTCTACTAAGTGTGTCTCCAAAGTCTCAGAGACAAGTCTTTCTATGCAAAACTAAATTTAAAAATAGAACAAAATTCCCTACCACTAAGTTACAGTTCACCTGAACCTGAAGAGCATTTCATTTGATTTTTTAAAAAATATAATAATAACATAATCCAACTTTGAGGGCAAAAACCTTCTCAAACCCGCTGCCAAAAACTAATATAACGCACTAGTAAATGTAAAGCTTTGCCCTGACATTAAGTCTAATTGTGTCCGACTCTGGGGGTGGTGCTCATCTCCCTGAAGCTTATATACAGTGGAACCCTTATTCAGACCTAGAACTGCTACGTTTGAGAGCGGCTGCTCCTGTTGATTTTGCTTTATGCCACTGAATTGAGCTATGAACTGGGGATTTTGGTAAATTGCATACTATATGGTCTTTTGATATTATACTTTCTCATTACATAGACTGTTTTGTGTTTGGAGGGGTGGGTATTCCCACAGTTTCCAGAATAATTTAGTCCGGAAAACTATTGGAATGGTGTCAGGATTGCAGTCCAGACACCAGAAATAGTGGGTTTATCTTACGCCTTCCAAGAAGGCGCAGAATAAATCCAGTGTTTAATTAATTTTCTACAAACCAGGGTTTTCATGGTTTGTAGCAAATTAATTCGGGATTGTCCAGGACATCATCTGGATAGCCCTTTATTTATTGCGGGAGTTACCACAATAAAGGGGCTGTCTGGATGCGCCCTGATAGAATACTCTGCAAATAGGATTTTTTTTTCATGTATGAATAGGCCGTAAACTGCAACTACATGTTCTTTTCTAAGTATATTTTCTTT